CGTATATCACACCAATAAGAATGATTTGTGAAGAAATTGTCTTGAGAGCAATTTTTTTTAGAGAGAGAGAGAGAGAGTTTTTTGAACGGTAAATAGCCTTTTTCAAACGGTAAAAAGCAAATCCCTTTGGTAATTCATCATTATTTCTTAAATGTAAATCTGCCTACTGTTAATATTCTAAATAGGTGATAGGATCTCTTTTTTTTTCTTTTCCTATTTCTTTTTACACAAGAAAATGATCTATTTCTATTGCGCGTAAAGCACGGAAGTTTGGCGCGTGAACAAACTCTCCATTTTCTAGCTGGTGCGCGCAGTAAAACCTCTCTCTCTCTCCTTAAACCCTTTCTCTCTCTAGAGACTAAAACCCCAGCATCTTTCTCTCTCTCTCTGCAATAGAATGCAAAGGCTCATTATATAAATTCGCCGACTAGTCAATTTCAACGCAATCGCAATCGCCATCCTTCGTTCACTTCCGATTGTCAATGTCTGGATTATCGAAGCTAAACGTATCCAACCCCAAAGTGTGGGTGGTGATCGGTGTGGGCCTAGCCGGAGTTTTAATCCTCGCCGAGGTCCACCGCCGTCGGGGCAAAGCCAACAGCTACGATGAGGAAGATTTCGGGGCTTTTATTGAACGCTTTGAGCTTCTTCCATTTCCTCAGCCGCCTCCTCCCGCCGCGCGCCTCCCTCTCTCCGGGCTCACCTTTGCCATTAGTGACAAGTATATGATCGCATTTTATTTTTCACGATTCACTTCATTTTCATGATTTTTTATGTGTGGTGGGTTGACCTTTAGTTGAATTTCATTGTTGCCTTTTTTTTTTCAATTTTTTTGATTGATTTGATGGATGATGTTCTTTTCAAGTATAGATATGTGATGCGTAGTGTTAATTTGTATGGTTTACTGAAAAATCCTCGGAGCAGGTGGAAATATTATATGTTTGGATCCTTTTAATGTTGAAGAATATTTAGAGAACCGTATTTCCCGGAAGTAACGAAAATAGCTACCGGTGTAAAGTGATGTTCATGTCAATTTCTGTTTCCAATTAAACATTTATGATTGTTTGTATAACTGTAATTACATATGGAGTATATGCCTTGTCTTTGAACTTATTTATCTATTTGTGGTTACTATGTAGCTTTGACATAAAGGGCTACATAACGGGATACGGAAGTGCAGAATGGAAGAGGACACACGAGGCAGCAGTGAAAACTGCTATAGTGGTGACGACAATGCTAAGAAGTGGTGCCACCTGCGTGGGCAAGACAATCATGGATGAGCTTGGTTTTGGGTATTGCCTTTTTACCTGAATTTAATTATAAAGCATTTGGTGACTCAACACAAATATAGGTTAAGAAAGTGAAATGTCAAATTAAAAACTAATTTTGCTACTATGAGGTAAACTGTTACTGTGCCAGGACGAAGAAAATTGCATTTATTTACCTTCAAGTTAGTTCTTATTCAATACCAAGTCCCCATCTATGAGACTCAATGCATTGCAGTTTCAATCCCGCCCCAGCTGTATTTAGTTTCTGGAAATAATTCCTTTCCACGTGGGTTTTAAGTCAGGTTTTGGAGGGAATTTTATCATGTAAGTCACATGGTTATATATAAACATCAGAAAAACACATTTTCCTATTTTTTTCTTCCAAGAATGCTAGCTTCTCACCCGAAACCATATCTGCTGTGAATTCATCAAAGTTGGAGAACTGGTTGAATTTAACCACAAAGAATGATCAGGATTTAAGAATTTAATCATTTTAGAATGCCACTAATGTGTAAGAATATAATGAAGTCATTTTGTAACCATTTATAGCCAAGAAATCGAGCTTGTTATTAGCTAAGAATGAGATGATTGGGCGTTAGAGTCCACAGTATTGGGACCAGAATAGCACAAAAGATAAATTGTTGGACTGGTAATAGGAGGTCGTCTTTGGATGGGGTGGGATGGATATGACAGGGTTTTGCGTAGGCAGACTTAACATGGAGTCTGAGGGAAGACACTAATTATCGTTCTTGGATAATGAATGTAGGATATTAGGGGAAAATAAAAACTATGGAACTCCAACCAACCCACAAAAGCCATCTCATGTTCCTGGAGGCTCGTCTAGTGGATCAGCCGTGGCTGCTGCTGCCAAGATTGTAGATTTTGCTCTTGGTACGATTTTTTGTTCTGCATAGTTTATATTCCTGAGATCATTGAGTCTGATGTATTATTTTCTAAATAAAATGTTTGCTAACCATTAATTTGATTGTTGTCATTGCATTTATATATTTCTCCTTTTATCGACTGTATACTGTTACACTGCTACATACTTGTTATACATTTTTATTCTGTCTGTTTCCTTTTCTATAGGGTTGTGCTGATTTCAATAGATTATGGTCCTTAAAAAGACGTATTTTATGCAGCAAGTTGTTTTCCCTTGCCAACTTTGCATTCTAATATGGTAATCTGATATTGTAGGTACTGATATAGTTGGTTGTATAAGAGTACCAGCATCTTTTTGCGGCGTCCTTGGATTTAGACCATCTCATGGAATTGTGTCTACTATTGGTGTTTTGCCAAACTCCCAGAGTTTGGACACTGTTGGTATGTAACTATGGTGTAGTCTGCAAATTCAGAAGTTTGAAAATTTTATGGCATGCTTGTTTACACTGCCAAAATGTGTGCATATAATTACCTCCACGTCTGCAGTTAGTCATATTTGTCTTCATTAACTGTGCCGTATTTATGGCTGTGATAAAGTAGACCTAATTTTGCAGATGATTTTGTGAAAGGATAAAGGAGAGAGTAATATTTTCCAACAATTCGAAGCTAGTTTTCATGTTGTAGTCATTATATTTCATTATATTTCATTATTCTTTTGTTGTGAACAATTCTTTAACATCAATAACAACACTACTTCAGGATTGTTGGCATCTGATCCATCTGTTTTGCACCTTGTCGGACATGCTCTACTTCAATTAAATACATTGGCACCTAAAAAGACACGGCGCATAGTTATAGCTGATGATATTTTTCAGCTTTCTAAGGTTCCCTTGCAGAAGACCGTCTATGTTATAAGCAAAGTAGCAGATAAATTGTCTGGCTGTAAGTTTTTTCCCCTTTCCACTGTGATGTTATCAAAACTGTGATGTTATCAAATGCTTTCTTTTCTGCTTGGATATATTGATGAGTAAAGATTCATGTAACTATTTGTCAATGTTGTCCTTTGCAAGCTTTGTTGGGTGCAAAACAACAGAAACTTTATGCAACTCTTCCCATTTATTCTAATTTTGCAGATCAGACATCTAAGCATATGAATTTTGGGCAGTACATTGCTGCGAACGTGCCAAGCCTACAAATTTTCCGTGAAGAATCTAAAGATCAACAAACTGGAATGTCTACTTTGAGAGCACTGTCTTCTGCAATGCTTTTTCTTCAAAGGTTTGCTCAGATACTTTAATATTTTGCCAGACTGATCTGGACAATGGCATTTAAAAGAATATTATATCTTATACCTTCTCCATTCCGTTTTTCTTAAGAATATTTTAAGCCTAGTAATTCACTTTAGTTTTCAGCGTGTAATTCTATGGGGAGCTTCTTGTAAACATTTATCTCCTTTCTTAGAGGGGAATAAAAAGGAAAGAAAATGCCGGCCTTCTCTTTCACCTGATAACTTGATTTTTCTCTGACCAGCTTTTTTTTTTCTTTCGCTTCTCAGACATGAATTCAAAACAAATCACGAGGAGTGGATTAAGTCAGTCAAACCCAAATTAAGCTCCGATGTCTCTAATCGTGTTTTGGCGGCAATAAACACCACCCAAGAGAACGTCAAAACTCTGTATAAAGTTAGAATAGAAATGCGAGCTGCTCTAAAAAATCTCTTGAAGGTACGTATCACTATTTTTATCAGAGTAGATTCTTCTTCCATCTTGCATGGTCTAGATTGACAGGAGGAATTGGATTTCTTCTTAGAACTTTTAGGTATAATTGAAAATTCTGCTCTTTGGTTGTCTGGAAATCTTGGTTCTTTAAGCTCTTCTAAAACAATGGTTTAAGTAACAATGGATTACTTGGCTTAATGCAAACCATGTAATATTCACCTCTTCACTTAATGTCCGAGCAATTAGTGTAGTGCATATAGGATGAAAGAGCAGATTTAGTTCTCTAGAAGATATTGATGTATTTATGTTTCCTGTTTCACTGTTCCGAAGCTACAATTTCATTTGAATCTAGAGGTTTGTATCAATATATTGGCTTGTCGAAATACATGAATAGAACCATCTTTGTCATTGTTAGATAGAATGCTTCCGTTGTCAAAGTGATGGTGTAAATTTAGAATGAAGTAGGAAGTTGTGGGCCTTAACTTCAGTTTTAAAGGAATACAAAATTTTTACTATCCAAACATTTCTCGTCCTAATGAAAGTCTTGTATAACTAAAGAGGATACCCTACCTAACAACTGGTTTAGCAATAGTGTAGAATGTAGTGGCTGACACTGAAAAAATCAGTCTTATGGGGAAAATGGAATGCTCATTAGATTTGGGTTACATAAAATTGGACCGGGACTTAATTTTACAGAACTCTGATTAGCATATGCTTAGAAGAAGGTTGAAATCCTTCTGTCTTGTGTCCGAAGTTGCAAAAATGATCTCGATACTATCTGAGTGCTGTTTTGTTTTACACTCAAATTGGCCTCACGGTCGTTATCTTGATTAGTTGTTCTTATACTTGATTTTAATAAACTTTTCAATCTTGATTCTGTTTTTAATTGCTGCTTCTCAAGCCTCAGCTAATTAATTTTATGTCTCTGCTTTGATTTTTAAGGATGATGGTATATTAGTAATTCCGACAGTGGCTGATCCTCCACTCAAGCGGAGTTCCAGGAAAGGTCTCCCTACTGAATTCCATGACAGAATGAATGCTTTGTTGAGCATTGCAAATATGTCTGGAGGTTGTCAGGTAATTTGAGTTGACCTTTTTCAAAAGACTTAAATGATCTTTCACCCTCACTCTGTCATACTAATGAGACAATCGTTCTTTTTTTTTTCCCAGGTTGCCATTCCACTTGGAAAACACGACGATTCTCCAATTTCTGTTTCATTTATTGCATCTCATGGCAATGATAAGTTCCTACTTGATACCGTCTTGGATATGTATTCTTCTCTTCAAGAACAAGTCAGCATTATTTCCAGTTCCTCTCTATTGCCCGGTATGAATGGTAGCATGGATGCTGCTGAGCTTCTTAAAGAAAAGGTCCATTTCTCTCTCCTCATCAACAAAAGTTTCTCATTTTCCTCTATAAAATTTGTTCTTAGTTTTTCTCGTGATCGTCGAATTTTGCTAAAATCGCGTGTCATTCTATTATAATCACATTACACGGAACTATTTGCTTCCATGTACTACTTGTTATGAATGAATCTGCTGCAGTTAATTGATAGTTTTGCTCCCGCAGGCACTTTTTGTTCTATGTGATGCATGTCCTATATTTAATATCACTGGACCATTTTTTTTATAATTTGAACTTATAGTTGTAACTTTCCAGGGGAATGCGGCATACAAAGGAAAGCAGTGGAATAAGGCTGTAAGTTTCTACAGTGAGGCGTTAAAATTGGAAGACACAAACGCAACTTACCATTCCAATCGGGCAGCTGCTTATTTGGAGTTGGGATGGTTGGACACATCATCTACTTTCATACACTACTCTCTTCTTTATGAAAATCACTTCACAGAACATTCGTTCTCACAAATAGCTTTTTTTATGCAGCTTCCAACAAGCTGAAGATGATTGCAGCAAGGCAATATCTTTAGATAAAAAGGTGACTGACAGCTCATTATTCTATTTACACAAATACTAGTAGAATTTATTATTATTTACGGGGTATCATTTTCCTTTTTCCACTCTGCGGCAGTGCAATAAAGAAATGATATTTTGCAGCCAAAAGCAATCCTAAAGGCATTCTGACTAAATTTACTCTCTAATCTGCAGAATGTGAAGGCTTATTTGAGACGAGGCACAGCTCGGGAGTCTATGCTTTTCTACAAAGAGGCTCTTCAAGGTTGGTTGATCATTTTTGTGAAATTGATTACAATTACTTTTACTTAAACTAATATCGTATGTTGTAATGTTGTTATCGATTGTTGTCTATTTTCTCATAGTATTTTTGGGGGTAAATTTGCAGATTTCAAGCATGCACTGGTTCTGGAACCACAGAATAGGGTTGCTGGTCTAGCCGAAAAGAGACTGAGGAAATTGATCAGCTGAGTCTTTAATTTGCCCCTTTTTTTAACCCGATGATTATTATTGTTCAATTTTCCGATTTTTCGGGAAACGGTGGAAGTGGAAAAGAGTTTGCGATGGAGAAGTAGATATCAATTTAGCCTTTTGATATTGAGATGTGTATATTTTTGTAGTTTGCCTTCAACATTTGAAGTTCCTCATAAAAAAAAAACACATAACTTGGATTTTGTCAACTTGGCTATCTGTGTTTTGGTGATTTTTAGTAATGGAAACACGTTTGTCTTTCATGAGCTCCAGTACTCCATTGTTGCCTAAATGAAATGATATATAATATATATCTATGTATTTAATTATCATTATTTAGTAATAATACCTTATAAATTAAATCATTCATAACTTCATAGTTAATATTTATATTTCTGGAACTCTTATTTGTTTACCGTCTGTTAATTACTTCATAACAAACTAGAACAAAAAAATTCGATTTGGCATTATTCTCTATATATTTTATATAAATTTATTAATAACAATGAATAATTTTAATTCTGACGAAGTACATTGTGTATATATGAATGTATTAAGCGATTTCTAGAGAGAGAAACAAGCAAAACAAAGATAAGTATTAAGAAACTAGATAAACAGCGAAACATACGCTTACATATACAAATTTGTGTTGATTGTATATTTCAAAAGAAAAAAAAAACTCCCTGACGACCAGAATTCCTCCATCGCATCGTCTACCATAAATGAAATCCATTCATCTTCTCTAACATTTCCCTCAAGGTAAAAATTAATTCAATCAAATCAAATCCTTTTTTTTTTTTTTTGTTTTAAATTTTAATTTACGAATCTATATATTAATTTATTTAAAATCATAATCAAATCCTTACAGCTGTGCAGGGGGTATTGGTAGACGTTTACGCCTCTTGCGTAGCTTGAAAAAAAAAAAAAAAAAAATGGCGAAATGCTTGAGCCTAACGAGTCCGGTGAGATGCCTGAGCCTAACCGGATCGGCGGATTTTCTGTACCGGAGCTTCTTCTCCTATTCGGGGCTCCGATCGGTGAAAACGGATCTGAACGACGGCGGCACCACCATGCACTGCTGGGTCCCCAAATCGCACAAGGAATCGAAGCCTAATCTCCTATTGGTCCACGGCTTCGGCGCCAACGCCATGTGGCAGTACGGCGAATTGCTCCGCCACCTAATGCCGCGGTTCAACATCTACGTGCCGGACCTCTTATTCTTCGGCGAATCGTCGACGACGCGGCCGGAGCGGAGCGAGGCGTTCCAGGCGCAGTGCGTGATGCGGCTGATGGAGGCGCACGGGGTTGAGAAAATGAGCCTCGTGGGGATCAGCTACGGCGGATTCGTAGGGTACAGCATGGCGGCGCAGTTTCCCGATGCGGTGGAGAAGGTGGTGCTGTGCTGCACCGGGGTTTGTTTGGAGGAGAAGGATTTGAGGGAGGGGCTTTTCGAGGTGGCGGATTTGGATGAGGTGGCAAGTATTCTGATGCCGCAGACGCCGGATAAATTGAGGGAGCTGATGAAGTTCGCGTTTGTTAGGCCTGTTAAAGGGGTTCCTTCCTTCTTCCTCTCCGATTACATTGATGTGAGTTTATTTTATTCATTATTTTATAATTTCAAAATTATCATCTCATACCTAATCATCTGATTCATTCCCTTTGACAATTTGACTCATACTTCTTAATTTCTCTGTATGATTTGAATGTTCTTTTTTGGGGCTTGTTAAAGCTTTAAAATGTAAAAAAACCCCTAAAACAATTCTAAAATTTTTATGTTTCATGAATTCCAGCATGATTTGACCGTTACAGTAAAAAAAAAAATGTCTTGATTTCTTTTTCAAACTCATCTTCTAAATACATTTTTTTCCAACATGATTTTGTCAGCTTCCAGTGTTTTTCCATCTCGTCCAAAAAAAATCGATAAATGAAAATTACTTTCATTCTCAAATTATTATGTCAAAACATATTTCCCCAAATAAATAAATAATAAATCCCTAAAACGGCTCCAAAACATTCTTTAGCATCTAGACAAGAATTTTCAAGATGGTTTTTGTGAATGATGTTTTTTGTTACATGGACAGGTTTTCTGTACAGATCATGTGGAGCAGAAAAGGGAACTCATCCAAGCTTTAATCAATGACAGGCAGCTCACCAAGATTCCTAAGATAGAACAGGTTCTTATTTCTTCATTTCAATTTTTTTTTTTTTTTTAAATTGTAGGCAAATTACGGCCACCCTATGAGGTATGCTCAAATTACAAAAACCCCTCTCATGTTTAGGTAATTACAATCACCCCAGTAATTACCCCTCAACTATGAACGTGTCAAATTTACCTACTGAAAGAAGAGTTTTTTTCGTAAGACAATATATAGTTGGGGATGATTGTTGCAATTATCAAAATATAAGGGGGTTTTTTGTAATTTGAGCTTACCTCAGGTAGTGGCCGTAATTTGCCCCCTTCTACTTGTATATTCATTTGACAAATATGCCCACAAAATATTATTCTATGCAAGAACAGCCTACATTGATAATATGGGGAGAGCAAGACAAAATCTTTCCATTGGAGTTGGGGCACAGGCTCAAAAGGTATCAAGAATCTTCATCTCATCATCATTTATTTATAAATACCGTGCTGCACCATTTTATTTTTGTAAAAAGGAATGCAACTTATTACAGAAGAAATAATTAGATTTATTAAATGTTGGAAAATATATATTGTTTGCAGTCACATAGGGGACAATGCAAAATTGGAAGTGATAAAGAATGCAGGACATGCTGTGAACATTGAGAAGCCCAAGGATTTTGCAAAGCATTTGAAGTCGTTTCTCGTCGGTTCCAATTCGTCGTCTCAACGCTACAAGACTCTCTTCTGGAGCAGCCCTTGACACCGTACACGTATATATACATCCTCCTCTCACTTATCGAAACAACTTTTAAACATATTCTTGATTCATACTAATCTCCATTCACCTTTTTTAGCAGGGACAAACTGATTTTACAATGTATTGTGTATATTAATTATTAATATTAACCTTTTCTTCTCTAAAATATATATTTATATATATATGTGTGGTGAGATTCACCGATTGAAGTTCAATGTGTGGTGCAGCATCAAATAAATCAAGTAGTCTATAATTGGTTGAAAATTGACATCGAATTATTTAATATTGATAGTGAACAAAATTGGATTAAAACCAGTATTTTAGCTAATTTCCTTTTATAATTAAGGTAAATTATGTATTTAGTACAAATTACATTAATTAGATTGGAAACAACTACGTAAAATTGACAGTGAAAGAACCAAACCAGCTGTGTGTCCGATACAGACAACAAAGCAAAGGTATTTCCTACGGTCCAAATTAATTTCCCACCTCTATTTACGACTTTTCTACTGATAATAATAATTACTGGAAAATTAAAGAAGAAGAAAAAAGAAAAAAAGAAAAAAAAAAGAAGAGATGGGAAGTTCATCTTCATCATCCACCATAGCTCCTCTGCTTCTGAGAAATCTGGTCACTGCAATTTTCATCCATGCAAACAAATCCTTAATTTCCTTTTCACACAAGTACAAGTTTCTCGAGCTTTTACGCTGTTTTATAGTCTCGGTTTTTCTCTTCTTCCTCGGCCTTTTGCCTTCTTTCTTCTCCTGTTTGTCCCCTTCTCAGCACAACGAATATTCCTCCAGTTGCCCTAATTTTACGTCCAGGAGGGACGACGACTGTTATGGCGGCGGCTCAGGTGTTTCGAGGGCTTTGTCCCAGCTATTGTCGATAATGAACGATATTCCGGTGAGTTCTAGGAAATACGAAGTGGTTAGATCGTTGGCCGAGAAGCTAATCGACGAGAATTTATTGGAGAATAATCGAGCCTTGAGGGAGGTTAACTGCTCCGTGCTGTCGGTGGCTTTCGCGAGATCGCTGAGTCAGCTCGAGGCCGCTCTGGCGGAGCAGGGGCGGAGGAGCTCCGGCGATGGCGCCGGAGACTCCGCGGCTGGGGAGGGCGATTTGTACGATTGCAGCGGCAAGGGGAGCCGTTTAATGAAGGGGGTTAAGTACTATGGAGTCGCGGCGTGGCGGTACGCCAAGTCGAGGAGTAGTGAGATGAGGCGTTGTTCGGGTGAGAAGCTGGCTGCGGAGCTGCTGTGGCTGGCTCAGAAGATGGCGGCGTCTGGCTGTGCGGAAGAAGCTGTTTGTAAGTGGGCTTCGGCTTCGAACTTGGCTTGGCTCGCTTTATCGGCTGAGCCGCGGCTTCAGGGCTCCCTCGTCAAGGTCTCAGGTAAAACATACACAAACATATAATATTGTCTCATTTTTGGTCAATATTTTCTGGATTATTTTTTTACTTTCACTAAACTGTTTATTTGATTTTTTTCACCTTCAGCATTCTTGATCAAGCAAGCAAAAGAAATGGGGAAGGAAGAAGAAGAAGAAGAAAAAGAAGATCAAGAAACGAACACACCATCAGAAGAGCAACATATAAGACAAACGAAGATGAAAATGCTAATGTCGTGGCTGCCCCTGCTGTGTCGGGCCAACAACGGCACTGATGCACCGATTCTAAGTATGGGGGAAAGGGCAGAAATGGAAAGAATATTGGAAGCAATTATCTCGACTTTGCGGGAAGAAGATGAGCAAGAATGCGTGTTGTCTCTTTGGCTCCACCACTTCACCTACTGCCCCGCTTCCGACTGGCCCAATCTCCGCTCTTGTTACACTCGATGGTATAGTGTCACCCGTGCCAGGCTCGTCTTATCTTCTGTTTAGCTCTGAGGAAAAAAAAAACGATAATTTGGATTCTCCATTTCAATTCTATGTTTTTGTTTAAGTAGGATGATCACAAGATTTTCGATTATAACCAAAGAAGAAATGACACTTTCAAGTGTATGAATTGAAGATATATTATTGTTTTGTAAGTTTTGATATACTTAGCTAGAAGGAAATTTCATGTAGAGGAGTTAGATGATATAGACATGGGTGTGTGTGATTATGTGTGATTATATGTAGATGTACGATTTAAATCCTCCTAGTATAAATAACTAAATGTAACATCTATAGTTCTATTTCATGCAAGTATTATCTAAAGTTGCTTATATGGTATCAAATGAAGCGTGTAAAATTCATAATTTGAATCTATTAATTTGAATCTGTTTATATACCTAATTAATCTATCTTACTGTTGATATATGCGGTTTAATATTTACAAAGCGCATATATTTATAAACGTAGTCTAATATTTATTAATATAACTTACTCTTGATATAACGCACTAATCTATCTTACTGTTGATATATCATATATGCAGTTTAATATTTACAAAGCTATGCAGTTTAATATTTACAAAGCGATATTTATAAAAGCAGTCTAATATTTACTAATCTAACTTTCTTTTATACATGCAGTCTAATATTTACAATCAAATTTACTCTTGATATATGCAGCTTAATATTTACACAACGCAGATATTAAAAACCACACAGTCTAATTTTTAGAAAGAGCACATATCATTTTTACTGTCTTTATACTTTTGGGCAAATGGCAAAAAGGGCCATCACATGTGACTTAAATGCATTTTAGTCCACAAAAAAAACAGTCTCTCAATTAAGCCCATCCCCATGTCTTTAGTCTAAAATACCCTCAATAATATAATTCTTAACAATTCCACCCATTATGCTCTAACTTCCTTAATATTACACATTGACCCCGGATTTAAACAAATATATCACATTAACCCCCAAAATTTTTTTTTTCAGAAAATACTTTTTTTCTGAAATGTTTTTTTTCCGGCCAGATTCCGGCAAGATCCCGGCGTTGACCGCCGGAGACCGCCGGTCTCCGACGTTGCCTTTTTTTTTTTTTTCGAAATTTATTTTTTTCCTGAATTTTTTCCGGCCGGTCAACCACCGTTGACCGCCGGTCTCCGGCGTTGACTTTTTTTTTTTTTTTTTTTTTGAATTGTTTTTTCTTAGAAAAAAATATTTTAATTAATATTACTGTCTTGACTACTAAATTACTGTCTCTAACAGTAATATTACTGTTTGGGACAGTAATATTATGAATATTATTTTTCCGAACAGTAATATTATTAATATTATTGTCTAAGACAGTTAAAATACTGTTGGAGACAGTAATTTAACATCCAAGGCAGTAATATTAATTAAAATAATTTTTTTTGTAAGGAAAAAAAAAAAAAAGTCAATTAACAGTTAAATTACTGTCTCCGACAGTTAAATAACTGCTGGAGACAGTAATTTAGCAACGAATACAGTAATATTAATTAAAATTATTTGTTTCAAGAATAAAAAAGTCAATTAACAGTTAAATTACTATCTCCGACAGTTAAATAACTGCTGGAGACAGTAATTTAGCAACGAATACAGTAATATTAATTTAAAATATTTTTTTAAGAATAAAAAAGTCAATTAACAGTTAAATTACTGTCTCCGACAGTTAAATAACTGCTGGAGACAGTAATTTAGCAACGAATACAGTAATATTAATTAAAATATTTTTGAAGAAAAAAAAAAAGTCAATTAACAGTTAAATTACTGTCTCCGACAGTTAAATAGCTGCCGGAGACAGTAATTTAGCAGCCAAGACAGTAAAATTAATTAAAATATTTTTTTTAAGAAAAAACAAAATTATTAAAAAAAAAAAAAAAGTCAACGCCGGAGACACGGCGGTCAACGGCGGTCAACGCCGGAATCTGGCCGGAAAAAAAAATATTTCAGAAAAAAAATTTATTTTCTGAAAAAAAGAAGTTTTGGGGGTTAATGTGATATATTTGTTTAAATCCGGGGTCAATGTGTAATATTTAAGAAGTTAGAGCATAATGGGTGGAATTGATAAGAATTAGGGTTAAAATTGGGGTCAAACTTGAAATTAGGGTTAAAATTGGTTAATTGATGAAATTGGGCTAAATTGGGGTGTAAATCATGAAATTGGAGTTGAATTGGGTTTCAATGAATTGGGGGTAATTTTGGTATATATAAAGGAATTTTCCTTATTTGCAAATAAGTTTGAATGGGGTGGATTTATTTGGAAGACAAAAAAGTTGGATGTCCCTCTTCTAATTAAGTGCTCTTGTCATGTTTTTTGTGATTACCCCTATACTTTTATCTATTTAACTGTCAATCAAAAACACGCAGCCTAATTTTTACAAAGAGCAGATATCATTCATGTATTTTCACCACAGGCTTTCATCGATTTTCACCATCTATTTGTCACCCGTGTTTTCTTTTTCAGCTATTTTCCCAATAGTTGTTTTTCCATTAAAAATAAGTAAATAAAAATTTTATTTAGGTGTACGTAGAATAATTCTATATATTATATTTGAAATTTAAAAGAAAATGAAGAAAAGAAGCATAACTTATGATTGGTTCGATTACAAATGAGATACTTATCTCATATTTATGTATTCCACTCTCAAATAGATCATAAACATTGAATTAATCCTTTGACTGAGAGAGCAACTCTATAACACTCCACAAATATTCTATACATTCTAGAATTATAAATCATATCTATGTAATATTATACATGTGAGTTTCAAAAACTAAAGATTTTTAAAAAAACGCATATAATAATATAATATTTTGACTATGTTATTTGATAACTTTTTTTCCGACTTAATAATATTGATCAATGCGGTTCGGACCGATTTAAAAAAAAAAAAAAAGTTACCCGTGAACGATTTAAAAATGGGGCTTTAAGATATGCATCCCTTGTGGGAAAACTTATTAGATGATACACCCAAGCCTATAAAAACATTAGCCAGACATCCTTTTGGGAAATAGTGCCTATAATACCCTTACAATGATATTAACGCCGTTTATTTTTTATTTTGGAAAAAAAAATTAAATCCCACCAATCTCGCCATTAGTAATCTGTGAGGTTATATTTTCCCAAATCCCACATTAACCGTATCATAAACCAACCCACTATCCCCCCACTTCGCCCCATCTTCGCCAGATTAGGGTTTTTTTCCCTTTCGTTTTCGCCTGCAAATCGACGCCGAGCAACATCATAGATTCCCTAATTGTCGGCGCAGTTAAGGTCTACGGATGTCTACGTCAAGAAACAGATCAAGTAAGTTTTGATTTTTGTTGATTTTGTTTTAATTTTTATCTTTTTGGGGTATTTAAAAAGTTGAATGAACAGGGGTGATGCGTATGAAGCGGCAGCAGGACATAACTGCACTAGACCCTGGTACGATTCAAAGCATGTATTTTTTTTGTTTGATGGTTAATAATTTTGTGGGTATCTATGGATTCCACCGAAAAAATTTATGGATTCTACTGATTCAAAATATGCGCGTAAATATTTTTGTGACAAAAGGGTTGCAATCCATTGTTGGTTGATCGCTATTTGTATGCTACTAGGTTTGTGACGTCTGAGTGTCATCATGTATTACGTTTAGGTTTAGATTTGTGTGATTGTAGATAGTTGGTATAAAAAAGGCTGTATATCTCTATAATTATCTGTAAAAATACAGTTTCATTACTATGGTATTCTATGAAATGATATGTGCTTCTGCAGTGTTCTATAAAAATAACAGTTGAAGAAATGCCATTGAAGTTATGTGAAAGAGTGGTTTCCTTCCGTTGTACTTCCTTTTCTGATGTTCTATTAACATTTGATATTATATGATGTCTATGTAATTGATAGGATAGCCTATCAATTACTTATTCGTAAGTTTGTTGCTAATAAATCGTGTATTTGACTTCTATATATATTTGTAACTATAAATTGATGATGTATTTCTATGGGTGTCTATGATTGGGTACTGTGTTGTGTCTGCTAGTTTCTATGGCAGTCTGTGAGTTGAATATGTACTATAATAATCTATGGCATGATATCAGTAAATATTTTGGTACAGTTATTCTGTTGTGATGTTTTTTTTTTTTTTTTTGGAGACCTATGTTATAGACATATCAAACTATTGCTACTATATGATACATAATTCTATGTTTAATTGATAGCCTGTCCTATGTGGCATATTTTAAGATTATTGCTAATGAATTCTGTATGCTTAACTCATTGCATAATATATGTAGTATTGATGTATACTATGGGTACTATGATATTCTATGGTTTTCTGTCAATTGCAATATTCCCAATTTCTTAATATAGAGATACTGACACTACAATTACATGGCATAGGTACTTATTAATCTTCAACCATTCATGTATCTTTGATCATAATTACAAGTGTGGTTTGTTATATTCGCAGGAGAAGCCATGAATGTTGCGCGCAAAACGAGAAACAAAGGTGGTTACATATCGCAATTCAGGTCTAACTTGACGTCTATTGTGGCCTTCTTCAAAGGAGTGCACCTAAATAATGCCCACCTAGAATGTCTGAAGAGAACCCCATTTCTCAACCTCGTATAACCGTTCCCATTTTTCTACATAATTAAAGAATAATTTATTTATATGCCACTGGAAATCAAAGAAGCAGATGACGGTGTTGCAGAATTGAGAAATGACATTGTAGAACAAAAACTTATGTAAAAGTTCGGTTTTTCCGCTCTCATGTTTTTTTATCTATTGTACGCAAACAAAAACTTATGTAGAAGTTAGGTTTTTCCGCTCTAGTTTGTATCAGTGCTGAAATATTCGAAACAATCTACTATTTATTGACACAGTATCTTATCTATATATGCCTTTTGGAAATTAGCTTTGTTGATATTGTATATTTTTGTTTATTTGTGTATAGGAATACCATACAATACTAAGCGCATGCAGGTATTGAAATTTAACAATGTCAAACACCGTACTACCAACAATACTATAATCTTCTATGGCAGACTATGAATTACTACAGAACATTGGATGAGCGAATTAAATGACAGTGCACCAAAACAATCTGTATTGTATTGTTTTAATGTGTAGCCATTGATGCAATGTTGTGATAATGATAATTTTAATAATAACTAAACAGTGCAATTACATTAACTGTAAAAACAATAAACATGCATCATATTTTTCACAAAAAACAAATCAATTTACAAACAGTGCAAATGAATATCTGAAAAGTAAGAAAACAATGCAACAAAAACATAAATCAATGAAGAAAGAACAAACATTCGTCACGAAAAAAACCCGATACTAAAACGACACAGTACTGCCCAAATCATAAATACATGAAAGAAAAAAAAAAAAAAAAAAAAGTCTTTAGGTCAAAATAACTGTACCAAAATATTTACTGATATCATGCCATAGATTATTAAAGAATAATTTATTTATATGCCATTGGAAATCAAAGAAGCAGACGACGGTTTTCGTGACTAAACAAATTCCTGCCTGAGTGCACAGCAACCCCCTCTCGCTTCTTCACAATTATCTCAATCTGCTCAAGCTTAATCTCGTCAATCAAAGAGAACATGTGTGCCACGTCATCATCATCGGTAAGCATGCCCTCGCCATCATCCAAAACCTTATACGACAAAACCATATTGTGTATGTACAACCCATTCCATTTAGCCCTCACATAACCAACAATCATGTTGAAATTCATATCACCAGACACATTCTTCATGCCAAAACATTCACCAAACCTCATCGATCTTAACAGTTGTCGACATTCTGAAATTACCGTGAAAATAAAAATCGAAACATAAAATAAATCTGCAAATAAATATGTTAATACAATAATTTACGTGAATTTTTTTTCCACTGCACAATTAAATTTTCAATTTATAAGTAGATCTTGTGAAAAAAAAAACGGTAAAAAAAAATTGAACAGACATCCAACCAACAACGCACGAAGAAACACTGATATGCGATGACGAAGACAATACCTTCTTGGTGAAGAAGAACAAAGAAAACTCGAATGACTACGCTCAAATTTTAGCCGATTACTACTGTGTATTGTTATGTATGGAATCTTCTTCACTTATGTGCAGTATATGTTAATGAGATTACATAAAGATACAGTTACTATCACAATAGAAAGTGATTGATACGTGATTCCTATTATCAAGGGACGTGATTTATTAAAGAGACATAAAGTTTTATAACGCCACACAAACGTCCTGTTAAAACTAAGGGTATTATTGGGATATTTCAAAAATAAATCCCTTATATCTTATATTTTTTGAACCGAGGGATTTAGTTACGATAAAAATATTGGGCTCGTACCCTACATCTAATAATGTTTCGTATGAGAGACCTCCAGCATATTAATAGTCTATTTGCGATAGACCGATTATCGGTCGGAGAATCCCAACTTCTGAACCGTGAGTTTCGAGTTCCGACGAAACGCCGGTTCAGATTGTGGCCATATGTAAATACCACACTATTGATCTCTCTTCGAATTTCGGCCTGGAGGTAGTGCGTGTAGGATAATCGAAATATCAAACCAGGATAAAAAATTGCTATTTCCAGGGAAGAATTGGGATTTCCAGTGCGCAGCCATATCCACAATCACTCAGCGGGTAAGTGCTCGATGCAGTATATACATACATTACATTGTCTCTATCCTTTAGCTCCTGCCTGATTGACGATTCTGTGTTCATTCTAAAATGTTATAAAATTCCAATTCGAGCACCAGAGGGTTTGGGATTTTTGTCAAATATTTGTTGATTATGTTACTGAATTAGTACATTTGATTCACTGAAAAACATTACATGTTTTTATTGCTGCTGCAGTTGAATCCGTGGAAATTCGATTTACCTTAAAGCAATATATATATATATATATATATATATATATATATATATATATATATATATATATATATATATATATATATATATATATATATATATATTACATTTATTCTGAGATTAATTTATGTGGGAAAAATATCCAACTACACTCTTATAGAACAAATTGTTTTGTATATATCTCAAATATCTCCGATGATGATAGCTGAGGCTCCTGTGAACATGACAAAACGTTTATAATATCAGAGTTAGGCACGTCGCGTAATCACAAATAACACAACCTAGTCTTCGAATTTCAAAAGAGTTTTTCTATAACGTCGAGTAAGTTTCAAAATGGTCCGCATTTGTATGTACCATGCTAAGTCGTCTCACCACATTTGGCGTATGAAATTGAAAAATTTCCACCAATTATTTTGGAATTTTCTCAAGTATTTAGAAACTGAATCTAAAATATGTACGTCGGGTATATTATAATCTAAAAGAAGTAAGAATCATTTATGCAGAGTCGGAACGAATTTACCTGTCGTAACTTTGGGTGCAAAACTTTATTCAGGAGTGATGTAATAGGACCGTTTGTGAGAAACCCCGTTTTGCTGTCACGAATCGTCTGGCGCATGACATTTAGTAATCGACCGTACGTCAGTCCAGGCTCATTCTGCGCTGCTTGGATAAAGCTGTACGTCATTGCACCAGTGGCTGTACCGCCAGAAAGGGCCTGCACATGTATTAAGACAAGAAAAAACGACTTAATTTCCCGACCGGGTAATTTGAATTCTTAGTTTGCAATCTGACTTATTTTGAACTTTGAGATTGCTATCGTTGCCTTGTCATTTCTTATTACTGACAATGCCGATAGGCGGATAACTCACTCTAACTAGGAAATTTCTCGCTCGAATTACATCGCCATGACGTATTTTAGTTTACCGAAATTGATGAAAAATATTGCATATTGTTATTTCAGAAAGAGTGATGTGTTTACTGTATCAGAAGTTATCACGTTTATTGCTACTTCCGTACAATTTATTGTGCTTGAATCAATATTGCATGTATAGAAAACATCGATTGAAATTCCGACTGCTCATGAAAATTGAAGTAATCGGAACAATTTCATTGGATTTACACACTTCTCTTAGAAAATTAGAATTGATTTTTCTCACCGTAGTATCCACTGAAACTTGATGGTCATCACAGGCACTTAAAGATACAGCTAGCCCACCGTTAGTACCTTTGTATATAGCCGATTGCCGACCATGATCTTCCCAAGTGTAGTATCCATTCCTACACCATATATAAATAAATAAATAAATAAAAAGATAAAAAAGTAGAGTATTCTTTTAAAGTTTCAAAGGGGAGTGAATAACCCAAATACGAACCTGTTCATTCTGCAAACGAATGGTAGGTCAAGAATAGTTCCACTGTGGCATGAATCTATTATTGCGTGCAGTTTGGCGCCTCGAGGCAGTGGTCTAACAATGGTGGCATTGATCTCATCGTCCAATATTGTTCCCTCACGTTGATGGTCTACTGGCCACAACGTTTCATCGTAGCCATCGATCTCGTCTCTGTTGAAATCGAGTGTTTGCGAACCATGACCTGAGTAGTGAAATACCAACGAGTCACCCGATTGGCTACCTTGAACCAACCACTGCAACGCCTTTCTGATGTTGTTCTTTGTCGGGATTCGGGAAGGGTGTGGCTCTTCTTCTGCATATTCAGCATAATTGACTATCAGAATAGCATGATTTTCTTAGATTTTCCCTGCTTCTCAAACAAGGTAGTTAGAATCCCGATTAAAATCCTATAATACTAGGATTTTGCAATTTTACTACCCTCTACCTCGTTAGGTCCTAGTAGAATCCTAATCCAAGCAAAATCATTCGAGTCTGGGAGTAAAATCCTTTAAATCTTTAAAATCTACGATTTTATTACGAGTTGGGATCATAATATTTATGTTGTTACATACTTTAATTATGTTAGGAGATGTTCTATATATGTTGAGACATGTACAATATGGTATGCTATATAGATTTACAAGATCTGTAAAATCCTACGAGTTATGATCCGATTTTACGACTACAATTTTACAGCCACCTTTCAATTCTACTTAAAATCCCGATTTTGACTACCTTGTTCTCAAAACGATTCACAAAAAGTAGCATTGTTTTTTTACCAAGTAACATGATGCTACTTTTGGTGTTTTGAACTAAAAACTGTAAAATCTCTTACCAGTAAGAACAAGTATGGAGTCACTTGGAAACCCGACTTTCTGAATCAGAAAATATTTCATACAGTTGACATCATTGACCGTTCCATTTAGCTTGTATCTCTGGCCATAATAGCTAACTCCACATAACACTGCTCGTTTCTTTCCATGCGATGAAATTGGAACGAGTGACGGTGAAGGTCTAGCTTGTTGTGGGTGATACCCATAACTCGACGAACCTGCCCCAGGGTAGTTGTTCACCGTTCCTACCATTGTATTGATATTGTTAGATGCTTTATCGAGCAGATTCCTGAATCTAGTCGCCGCATGGAGAATGGAGTCGTGGGCTTGACCTAGAGGATCGTTGGGTCGATTGTAGACGGTAGTTTTACAAACTGTGCACTGAATAGCATGCGCATAGGGAGGCACTATTATCTGCGTACCGCAGTTACTGCATCTCGTTCTTTTACTTTTCGCTTCCATGTATACTCTTCTGAGAATGATATTCAATGGAAGATATATATATATATATATAAGAAAGAGTTTTGATAAAATTGTCTTTGTGATATTTGCTTTATCCCACTACAGAAGAGAATTTCGAATCTGATTCATTACTTTTTTGTTGTGGATTAAGATGCCGCCACCCATTTTGTCTGTATTTGGTTGGTATGAAAGTATTTGAATTCTCGGGGATGTTTAATGTTAATAAACGTCTTAGACTAAATGAGAGGGTTCGGGAACATGTATGTACTAATTCATCAGATATTATGTCCTAGTATATGGATGTGTTTTGTTTAATGTTTCTGCTTTGAGGAGAAAAGTTAAGTGGAATAGACACTTGTGAAGATGCTTTAGAAAAAACCGGGTAAATTTCGTCTCCTTTAATTGTGGCTCTTACTAGAGATCGTTTCTGCTGTAATTTTCCGAGTTCCCTCTCGTATTCAATTCTAAAACCTTCTTCATGCAGAATTTAAATATAAGTAGTTGCATCGAGTTTTCCAGCAAAGTGGTGGAAATAATTCCATTGGAAAAGGACCGACTTTGCTTTGAGTCGAGTTTTCGCCTCATCTTTTCCTTAATTATATTTTAAAGACTCGATTGAAAATTCGGTGTTACATTGATTTAGTGCAGGTCTGCCAACTTGAATTACCACAATAGCATCCTTGAATGTTACACCGAGAATACACTTTTATTTATTATTTTGGACTTCGAATTTTTATAGAACAGGATTTGCGAAATGTAGTAGAGAAATGGTCATAATATGGTTCAAATTGACCAATGAGTACACACTTTGCCTCTTTTATTTGCAGATAAAAGCCGACGTCTTTATAAAGTGAAAGGCTTCGAGTGAATGTCGAACTTATGAGACGAGGACAATTGTGGTTCCTGTATACACAAATAAACGACCATTAATCACGATAACTTTGACAATGTTATATTATTCAAAAATTATTTTATAGATGACTTCAAGTTTTCAGACACATCCCAAAAGCGAAAAGAGAACATTTAATTTGAGAGTAGGATTATGGACAGTTTTTACTTCGGAAAAATTCTTGGGATAAACAACGTTAGTTATTAGTGTTCGATGTTTACTGTAAGAATAAGAACAAGAAATGTGTGGCAGCGTACCTGCGATAAGTGGGGCGCATTACTGTTCAAACCTACTTTTTCTCGAGCCGCACTTATTCTCTTGTGCATGACCATAAGTAGATGTCCATAAGTTAATCTCGATTCTTGTTCCAAAGTTTGGACAAAGCTGTAAGTTAGAGCACCTGTCGCTGCACCTGTAAAGGCCTGTACAAACACGAACGTTATTAAACCAAATCTTAGGACCGGTTTTATGAAGTTTATTACTATGTGTCGCAAAACCCGATGCGGTCTATATTACTTTACTACCTACCGTGGTATCTCCAGAATTTTGATGATCATCACACGCACTGATAGAGATTGCATATCCGCCACTCGTACCTCTGTATGCAGCAGCCGTACGATGATCCTCCCATTTATAATATCCGTCCCTAATTTGAACACAATATATTAGAGAAGTGATTTCCGTATTTAATTAAGTTCATATATAGAAATCGGACCTGTTTATTCTGCAGACATTTGGAAGATCGAGAAAGGTTCCGCTAAAGCAAGTGTCTATGATGGAATGAAGTGTTGCTCCTTTCGGTAGGGGCCGAACGATGGTGGCATTAATTTCGTCGTCCAGTATCCTTCCCTCGGTTTCGTAGTCAACCGGCAATAAGGATTCGTCGTAACCGTCGATCTCGTCACCGTCACGGTCCCTCACTTGCGAGCCGTGGCCGGAGTAGTGAAACACCAACGAGTCGCCGGGCTGACAGCCTTGGACGAGCCACCGTAGTGCCGCTCGGATGTTTCTCTTTGTTGGAACACGTGAGCTGTCTTCTTCTTCTGCAGATGCATTGAATGAGATATTTTGTATAGTGTGTGTAGGAAAATGCTGGTGTGCAAATAGCCTCACATAGAAGTGGAGCTCCAAATACGCACATAATTACGCATGCTAATTCTTAACCAAAATCAGTAACGGCAATTACCTGTTAGCACGAGAATAGACGAGTGTGGAAATCCGAACCTATCCGCCAAAAGTTTTTTCATGTACAACACATCGTTGATGCTGCCGTTAAGACTGTGTTTGTGTCCTTTGTAGGTAATGCCACACAGAACAGCTCGCTTACATCCATGGGCAGCGGGAGCATATAACTGCGGTTGTACTCGGTAAACTCCACCCGAGTTAACTGGTTGGTAAGTTCTACCGTAAGCTGTGTAACCAGGGTTAGTTACATATGTGTCGCTAGACATGAAATTGGCATTACCACTGGATCCCGATGGAGGGTAGCCGCTGTAGTAGCCCTGGAATACTGTAAACCGACGACATGCTTGACAGTATAGGTTTTGTGAATCAACTGGCACCAAAGACGGGACCCCGCACCACCTGCAGTTCAATCTCCTACTTGCCATCTCTCTGGTTTTCTATAATTCTACTTGGATTTGAAAGGTAAAACGAGAATATTTATATTTGGTATTTTGTTCTGTGAGAGAGCGTTTTCATTAAGCACAACTTGCCAATTGTTTTTTTATATTTCTTTATTCCATACCGACCCGAGAAAGTGTTGGAGAATTAGATTCGCGTCTTTATTTCCTTTTCGCGTTTATGACCAGCTAGGTAGGAGAATAAGACGTTATTAACTTTTTCATCGGATATAAGCGAATCCAAGGTAGCTTCAAATAATGGAAGATGGTTCTATACTTGACTAATAGTTCATCTTGTTATAGAGATCGGACTTTTAACCAAAAATGGTTGTGCTCTGATTAGCTGAACTATCTTATTCTTATTGCTTTTTTCGTGTTCGATTCCTAAAGTCAAAGAAAGTATAATTCCAAACCCATTCATACTATAACCTATAAAAGTGCGTTAGTTTAAGGTCTAGAATTTTATCGAGGGCTCGACCTCTCAGCGTAAAGATTCTATTCTAAGATTCTTGTAGAGATTTAATTCCACTTATTGTAGCTGAATACCATTTTGTTCGAGTTTTGCTGGAGGCGTGTTATAGATGTACGTAGGTCCTTGGCAAGAAATTCAAAAAATACTTGATCAGGTTATCACCTTCTTGGGAAAGAATCGTGGCCAGTTCTCGAGTGCCACTCTTTTGTTACACGGTGTGTGTTAATCACGACTAGTGTCACATTTAGTTTTTAGTTTGATGGAAGGCACTCTCTCTTTATTCACCTAGAATTATCTGTCATCTCACTGTAAAGAACATTATTTTTGCGTTTTAAAAAAATTAATCACAATTTAAACGTTCCGAGCCAAAAGTGATGTTGATCGCATGAAAAAAAACACGATCATAGTAGGGACATGAAAAATATGTTATGTTGATCACACGAGCTAAAAGTTGTGGTACAATGGCAACCTCGAATTATGCCACGGAATTAAGCTCAGGATAACTTTACGGCAGCTAAAGACACCAATTCATCTAACGAGGTGAATCGTTTGATATTTGTATCTCCAATAATATGGCTGTTACACGAGGACATAAAGCAATATCTCTGTGAACAAACATTTTAAATTCTACAAATTAAACGAACGACGGGTTGATGGCGGCGACGGGCTGTGCTTCAATTTTTGCTGTTAAATTTTTGTTATTAAGCTGACATTTAACTATGCGTAATTACAGCTTGAATTCTGTGTTGGTGCAGAACTCTTCAGAAGATGATAACAGTGGATCCTGAAACATTTTGTGCGTAAGTAAATCAGAATTTTAAATATATTATCGTGTCAAAAATTTCTCTTAGTTACCTTACTAATTTTCTAAAAAAAACATTTTTGCTTCTGTGTGACGTAAAAGATACCTGTAAGATCTTGCGGTGGAAAACCCTGCGAAGTCCAGTGCTTATGCATCCCGATTTATGGGCTTGCCTGAGGCTCTGGTGCATAGAATCGAGTACGCCACTGTAAGTTATTTTTTCTTTATTACCAGCTGCTGCTTTGATTGCTCCTATAAACGTGCTCGTCATCGCACCCGTCATTTCTTTTTCTTGTGAGAAAGCCTGCCAAAACAATTTACCGTTTAAATGTGTCCTAAATAATTTGAATTCGATGACAGAAATAAAGAAAGAATAACTAACTGATGTATCTGCAGCCTGTTGATAATCCTCACATGCACTGAAGCAGATTGCTCTTCCTCCACTCGTACCCTTATAAGCGCCAGACGGAGGGCTGTTATCATCCCATTTTCCCCTAATAAACGTACGCGTGGACCCCACCACAAAAACCGTCTGTAAGTTTCTTACATCTCAAGTATGTCGGAAAGTTTTTTAACGACAAGATAAAATATTGAATTGTCTGGAAGAAATTATATATACACTAAATGAAACTTGATGACTTACGTATTAATGTCGTACACATGGGGCAAGTCGAGAATAGTTCCACTGTGACAACAATCGACTATAGCATGAAGCGTAACATCCGTGATCAGCGGTCTAACAATTGCTTCGTTTATGTAATTATCCAATATAACTCCACTACTTTGAAAATCAACTGGGCAAATCGATTCGTCGAACCCATCAATTTCGTCGCCCTGGAAATCGCGTTGTCTCAATCCATGCCCTGAAAAGTAAAATACCAACGAATCACCAGATTGAATTCCCGTCATCAGCCACTTGAATCCATCTTCTATATTCTTCCTCGTTGGAGCCTTATAATTCTCCTCTTCTGCAAAATGAAGAAAAGTTGCACTCGATAAATTTTTCGGCTGATATAGTAAATAAACAAGATTATAAGTATCGACGTACCTGCAAGAATAAGGATCGATTCAATTGGGAAACAAAATTGATCGACTAGTAAATCTTTCATGTTCTTGACATCTTGTGCAGTTCCCTTGAGCTCACACTTTTGTTTCTTGTAGGTGACTCCGCAGAGGAATGCTCGTTTCCCTCTCGGTGGTGTCTCTGAGGTAATAATCGGATGGGGTGGGCCCCCGGTTTGACTGTTACCGTTGCTGCTTGAAAATTTCTTCCTTAGGCTTTGACAGAGCATTTTTGCTTCGGTTTTCTTTTTTTCCAGCTCTAGGCTCCAGTCTTTGCTTCTCCCGGAAAATACTATTCCGTTTTTGGACGATCGTCTTCGACAGTTCTTGCACGTGACGCTGTCCATTCAAGTAAACGGTACGTTTTTTTCTAGCCTGAACTAGAGAGTGAATAAGCATATGCCCTATTGGAAAAGATGTTCGTAAAGGAACCAAATCGATTCTTGAGTTGGAATTAGAATATATATATATATATATATATATATATATATATATATATATATATACATATATGTGCATGATATTGTCAAGAATTTCTTTGATTTATTCCATTTCCATTTCGTGACGCAAAGAGTAGAGGTTTAGACCGATGAATATATTCTGTGCAAGTGCGGGTTGATGGCTGCCTTCGATGATCAAGAATTTTTACGCCGCGAATTTAATATTTCTTTGAATTTTTACGTTATAAAAGTGGTGAAATTATAAGGAATTGTACTTAAATTGGTGACGGTTGTGATAGTAATGGATTCTTAATACACGGTTTCAGTCCCCATTTTTGGGTTACAAACTTGTAGACGTGGTAAATATTCGGCTAGTTGACCCCGGAACATCATATATGTCTACTTTAAATTGCTACCGATCTTTAAGCGAGAGATAGGAGAATTAGATGCTCGTTTTCTCTTAGTGAAGCTTTTCCTGGAATTTGGAATTTGGAATTTGGTTCCAACTTAATATTCATATAAAACAATAACAAGTGCAAGTCCTTTTTCGGATTCTTTGGTTCGAAGGTGATAGTGATCGAACTTTGGTCAATGAAAAAAGGCCCAAGCTATACGAATTTTCAAATGAGAAGACACGATAACTTAAGCAATCGAAATGATTGTTTTTCGGAATCTTGAACTATTAAGAATATAATATCAAAGTCTCCTCAGAAAACAAATTTATTTTATTGCTTTAATCAAAAGTGAAATTCGATGTTTTGTGAAACAATGTCTCGATATTAACCAAGCGAACGATTGAACTAGATTACATAGCGTAAAACACCATAAACAGACAGATATTTACACAGAAGATAAGAGAGGGTTTCTACTTCAAGTTTCGACTGCGTGGGCAAACTGACATACAAGTAAATCAGCAGAAACGATTTTATTGGTGATTTCCTCGAGCTATATATAGACATTCATATACAACACTAAAATGAAAAGAGGGATGCTCAATTCTTCATCAAGGAAAACGACATTTCCCGTAAAATCTAGAACTCGTCTCCTCAAGAAAAATATATCTGCAAAATCACACAATAAAAAATGTCAACGACACTTCCAAAAAACTTGCGCCTATTATTCATACTAACATTGAATTACTTTGATGTGTAATAAGATAAGTTACGCACCCGATAATCAGAAACCATGAGAATCCATCGAAAGACCAACGCTGAAGTGGCCAGATATCTTGGTCTTACACGTTGGACACATATAGCCTATAGAATCCGACGCAGCTTCAGGCTCGACTCCCTCGAGTTTGAACTCTGTTCTGCACCACACACAAACAGTTAACTGATTTGTGTCCATTGTATTCAGCATAACCGAATAACTGAACCCGTCTCCAATAATCCCACTCTCGTTTCCCAAATTCATGTTGCCACCTGGCAAAGGTGGCAAATCTTGATCGCTCGTGAAACTGTACTTGAAGGGCTCTATTTCGTCGAACCTCAGTTCTTCAAACCCTGTATCATTCTCGAGTTTTTGCTCCGCTACTGAAAATTTATCTACATCCTGTAAATAAACAAAAAAAAAAATCAGTTCAAATCATCGTTAGTCACAGAATACTCCGATTCCTATAGGAGAATTGAAAGCCGAAATATTTACCTTATCCGATACAGAACCGAATGGAGGGAAGAACTGAAATGATTGGGCCAATGGCAATGAGGAAACTCCATCTCGAAAAACAATCTCCTCACTTTGCTTCAGACACGTGTTTCCATAGCCCATATCCAAAGCACTGTTTTCATACTTCCTCGACATGGTAGGCTCAGAGACATCAATGCAACTATCGTCCATCTCAATGTCCAAATTCCATGCATAATCATTCTTGACCATCTCATTGTTCTCCGTCATGACTTGGGTACCATGATTCAAATCTTGAACAAGGTCTCTGTCTGAACTTAAGTTTTCTGCATGAATTTCAACAGGATGGGAACTGGTTACGGCTTGTACCCCAGTTCCAATTGTCGAAGTTTCAAAAACAGAACTTTGAGCAATTTCGACTAAAGCATCCATTTTCGACGACCTTAAAGGAACTACCTCCTGCAACTGAGATTCTGCGTCTTTCTGTACATCCACAGTAATAATAGCTAGCTCGTTAGAGTTTTTTACGGAGTTTCTCACATGGATACCTACATGACCATTATAGCTACGCCTTTCATCGAAAACCTTGTGACAGAACTGGCATTCATATTTCCCGTCTTTGATTATCACACCTTCTCCAACCGGAGTCCCGATTTTGTATCTTTTAGTAGTCTTCTGGTGGACCGAGAATAAATGCTGCAAATACGAATCCTTCTCATCGAACGTCACTTTGCATTTGAAACATTCAAAGATATCCTTAATTTGAACTTCGGGGAGGTTTTCTATGCCCATTAAGGGATCGTCGTACTCGTTTGAATGGGCTGACATGTCAAGCTGCGCCACTTCAGATATCTTGTCGGCAGGGCGTGCATTCTGTTGGATGCTTCAGTTAATATTCCTTTCGTAGAGATTTGTGAAAAATAATTAAAAATTGCTACTGTACTTACGTTTTTGGAAGATAAGACGTCATTACCCCCAAAATAGGATTTCAGAAAAGATGCAGCTTCTTTGCATGACATAAACTGTTGGCCGCTAGGGCTGGCAAATAGAGGAAGAATCCAAGTTAGAAAACGGCAATAACTTAACAAAGCTAAGCAAAGATGAAGATGTAACTGGAATTTGTGAACAACGAACAAAAAAGAACGTCGACTAATCAATGCTGTCTAGAATGAAGAAAGCCACAGAAGATCGCAAGGGCAAAGTTATTTCATGTGTGCAAGTTACCTCGAAAACCACCACATTCCGAAAATAATCAATTCAATCGACAAGCGGACCAAAAGTAATCAAATTAATCACCTTATGCATCGGCGGCAATAAACTGAGACACGATAGTCGCATCTCCTAAGGCCGAGCAATAGTTTCCAGCCGATAGGCAGTGCATCTCCAAACACACTGGCATCAACATACTTCCTCTTCTTCCTCCTGCTACACCACTGCCCCTCTAAACCCTGCAAAAACCCCAAAATACCCTCCTCGGTTTCCAAACCTTCCGTCCTTCTCTTCAACTCTTCTCTGTACAACTCATCCCCATTCTTCTCCAATTCCGCAAAATCGACCACCTCACCTTTACAATTCACCTTCTGCAGCTCTGTTCCACCTCCACCTTCCAAAAACATCTTGTTTTTCTTCGCCCTTTTGCTCTTAATTTTCAAATTTGCTTGCAATTCGAGTGATCCAGAGTCCCGAGGTTCATGCGGCGGTGGCGGTGGAGGATTGTGGTTGCCGTTGAGGAAGTGTTTGAGGAAGTGTACAATAGAGTGGCTCACGGGATCGGAGGAAGGGTGGGGGTGGCGATGGGGTTTGAGGGAAGGGTGGTGGCCAGGGAGGCGGGAGTGCGACGAGCGGTGATGGAGGCGGGAGTAGGTCTGGCGGCGGCTGCCGGCGGACTCGTTGAAGAGCGATCGGTCGAGGTCTGGTGAAACGACGGCGTCCGCGCCGAACGCGGAACCGGAGCATAGAGATAGGGCTTGCAATTCCGACTGCGACAGCTGGCCGATGTCTATGCGTTTCAAATCCTCCACCCTAATTCCGCCACGGCCGCGGGAGGAAGACGGATTGGCGGAGTCGACCGTCGCCATTTTTCACATTAGAGGTGAGTGGAAAGTACACACAGTGGAGGTGGGGGAGTGTGTGTGAAAAGGGGGAGAAGATGATCTTTTTTGATGAGTGGGGAAAGTGGGAGTGTCAGGCGTTTTACAGGTGTCTCTGTTTAATGTGAAAACGTTTGTTTGCACTGTTTATATATATGTGTACATTTACGATTTTGTCCAAAGTAGGCATGGTTTCTTTCTCTTTCGCGAGATATTGCGTGGGGGTGTTTTAGTCATTACAGCTCTGTCAGTTTAGTCCCATCGGGATTCTGTGATCTCTGTTTTTAATGATCTTTGTAAGAGAGTTTTAACATATCTGGATATTGATATTTTGGTAATTACCCTCCTTATTCACTAACACCATTTTTTTTCCAGTGTGTTCTAACAATCGGTGGTGTCAGTTGTAAACTTTTACGATATTTGTGACACGGTTTAAAAATTCAATTTTTGGAGGGTGAGGCGGTTTACGGCTAGTCAAACTAATATAACGGGCGAATAAATCAAAAAAAGATATTGATTTTTTTTTAATTAAAAGAAAAATAGGATAGGATTTTTTTTTATTTTTTTATTTTCCAAATTTCAACTCAATTTCTTTTAACAAAAATCATGTTTAAACATTTTATAATATATATTTTGAGTATTTACAAATAGTGTTTATAAATATATTACACTAAATCTGAAAACTGATTTATTTTCAATTTTTGTTCGACTAATCACCGTCACGCCGATTTATCGTATGGCGGTCCCTAACCGCCTCGGACCAGATGACCGGTTCTTAGAACCTTGAATTTTTTTATAGAAGGTGAAGTTAGAACTATATATTGAACTAAATTATTCAAGATGGTTTGTTAAAAGATCGTTTCAGTCTGATTTGCTAGTATAATGAATAAAACTTGAACACATATCTTCGTTCGATAAACTATAATGTCTAGCTACAAATCAAGCTCGACTAGAGGAAAAAAAAGAAGATAAAATAGATATGAAGCCCCATATATAAATATAAAATGGGAATACAAATTGCAATAATATGTGTATTATCCACATACAAAAAAGGACAAAAAAATAATAATAATAATAAAAAAAAGAAAAAAGAATGAAAGGAAATGGATATCTCTACGTGTAACAAATTTTGTTAGCGCCACAAAACAAAAGTAACCAAATCCTCTTATTTTCGATTGGTACATCTTATGTGGTCTGAATTTCTGGTTTGTCACTTTCAAATCCAACTCACCAAAAACACCGGTTGCTTCAATTTCAACTCTCCGACCACTTCACCTGACCAAAAAACCAGATCAATTCATTTCAATTTTTTTTTTTTTATATTTTTTTTTTTGATTTCATACAATAGAAAATTTACAAGAGTGATGAGTACTGCTACAGCCGCCGCTGCTCTGACATCCACAATTTTCGGCAACCAAAATCCATGCAACCGGAGATGGATGGAAATCTCCCACTCTCCGGCGGGCAACCCCGGCCGCAGATCGTTGGTCACCAGGGCCGCCGCTTCCACCGACAAGGAGAAGAAGAATCAGCCCAAGAGGAAGACCAAGCGGCCGAAGGAAGTTCTAGAAGAGGAGAAACCCCCGCCGGCGGCGGCGGCGGCGGAGGATGGAGAAATGCAGGGAGTCTCCACCGCCACTTCCGTATCGGCGATCAAGAGCCGGCTCGACGAGGTGAATCCGGTGGGCCTGGGGCGGAGATCGAGGCAGATTTTCGACGAAGTGTGGCGGAAATTTTCGGGTCTGGGGACGATTTCGAGGACGGCGAGGACCGACGCCGATGAGGAGGCGCTCCTCCTGAGAGAGGGTGGGCCCATGTGTGAGTTCGCCGTTCCCGGAGCGCAGAACACCACCGTGCTTGTGGTCGGCGCCACCAGCCGCGTCGGCCGGATTGTTGTCCGGAAGCTTATGCTCAGGGGTTACACTGTCAAGGTTAGTTTTTAATATACTAATTTAAAATGTTCACCATTGTATTATATTACTAATTTTTCTTCCTCGTAATTTGTGTAATACTCTTTGGGAATGCAAATTGGAATGGAATTTTCGATTTCCGCCTATTCTGATCCGAACTCTTTCGATTTTGGAATACAAAATTCAAAAAATTGATTTCCGATTTTCCGAAATTTGGATTGGAATTCGAATATATATGACATTCCGATTTCCGGTATTTCCGAAAACAATTTTGAGAATTACACTTAAAATATCACAATTATTATGGTTTACATTTTAGGTTACTTAAAAAATTGGAATTAACGTCGATTTCAATCCAAAATTTTCCCATTCTGGAACAAGTTTTTTCATTCCAATTTCCAAATTTTGTTTTTCCAAATTTCTCTTCCCGTAATTGGAATTAGTTTTTCACCTATGAAAAAAATCGGCTGTAAGTGCTTATTTCAATACAATCCGTCCAATTTCCACAGCCTACTTATCACAATATTTTCACATAGTGGTATAAACAAATCGAGCTGAATCAAACCCCATGATTGTTTAAACTCGTTTGATTTATTATCGAATTTTAAAAAGTGTGTTCGAACTTGAATTTGATTATGAGTTGAATCAAGCTTGAACAAGATTTAATCGAGCTGTATGAAAATAAGTGTTCAAATACCTTCTTCAAGAATTTCTATTATTATACATGGTATAATTTAGGTCCGATTTAAAAAAAAAAAATATTCACTTCGTATTCGCAGGCATTAGTGAGAAATGCAGATAAAGAAGTGGTGGACATGCTTCCAACTTCCGTGGAGATTGTGACAGGAGATGTAGGCGAGCCTTCGACTCTCCAAACAGCAATCGAAGGCTGTAATAAAATTATCTATTGCGCGACGGCTCGTTCCACAATTACCGGTGATCTTAACAGAGTCGATAATCTCGGTGTTTATAATCTCATCAAATCATTTCAGGTTTCGATCTATTTTTGAAGATTCATAGTATTTTGTTTTTCTATTATTAAGTAGAGTCGATTTTATTTAAACAAGAATAAAAAATGTAGGACTACAACAATAAGCTCGCGCAATTACGAGCTGGTAAAAGCAGCAAAAGTAAGCTTTTAATTCAAAAGTTCAAATCGGAAGATGCGATGAGTGGCTGGAAGGTTCGTGAAGGAACGTATTTTCAGGATGTTATTGCTGCTAAATACGATGGAGGAATGGATGCTAAGTTTGAATGGAGTACTGAGAACGAAGAGGCCGTTTTTTCGGGTATAAATATTACATATATACTAAAATATCAAGAAATTTAATATGTTTACTGCTTTTATTGTTTCTTTACGCCATTTTTTTTTAATTAAAAAGTATATGTATACAGGATATGTATTCAATAGAGGAGGCTATGTTGAACTGTCGAAGAAGCTTTCGCTTCCTCTTGGAAGTACCCTCGACAGGTACAGAATAAAATCAAATATAAAAATATATATGCTAATAATTCGATAAATATGAAATTATGAATTATTCATGGTAGTTAACATTGTAATGTGTTTTTTTTAAGGTATGAAGGACTTGTGTTCTCGGTTGGTGGTAATGGAAGAGCGTACGTAATAATTCTAGAAGCCGGTCCTTTGGCGGACACTTCGCAGAGTAAAATGTATTTTTCCAGGATTAACACTAAAGTCGGCTTTTGCAGGGTGAGTTTAAAACGTAAAATGTAACTATTTCCGTTTTTTTATTTTGGCTAATATGTTTGACTCCGGTCAGGTTAGGGTACCCTTTTCATCTTTCAGAGCGGTGAATCCGGAAGATCCACCTTTGGATCCGTTCCTTGTACATACATTGACTATCCGTTTTGAGCCAAGAAGGCAGGTTCGTTTTGAATCATCGTATTTCTTTTTTTTTTTTTTTTTTATAATAATTAGTGGCGATAATTTTTGTTGAGGCATCGGATTTCTTGATCGCAGAAATCGGTCGACAGACCTATTGGAGCTCAAGACTTGAGAAGCTTCCAATTGATTTTGGAATACATCAAAGCTTTGCCTGTAAGCTCAATCCAAGATTCAAACTACAATAAAGCAAGAATAATATACTTATTAGTTATAACTAATAAATCCAACAATTTAAAGAAAAAAAAAAAAACTAATAATAATATTTTTTTTCCCAAAAATTCCGTCGATCCATTTTAATTAATATATCGAAGTGGATTTGATGATTGCAGACGGGGCAAGAAACGGATTTTATCTTAGTTTCATGTACAGGATCAGGAATAGAACCTACTAGAAGGGAGCAAGTTCTCAAGGCTAAGAAGGTTCTCTTTATTTATTTATTTAATTATTTATTTTGCATATCTCTTCAATTTCTTATTAACCTTGCAAGTTGCAACTTATATCCCGATTTACGAACAAAAAAAAAATTTGTAGGCCGGAGAAGATTCACTGAGAAGATCAGGCCTTGGGTACACAATTATTCGCCCCGGTCCACTAGTGGTGAGTTTTTATTTACTCGCACGAAGCTTTTGTCTGAAAAAAAATAGATGACGTCAGCATTCTCTTACACACACATGCATGTATTAAAAAAAATGATTTTGCAGGAAGAACCTGGTGGTCAACGTGCTCTGATTTTCGACCAAGGAAACCGAATATCTCAGGTTAGTATTAAACATTAATCATGCTATATGCAATCGTATAGAGATTTCGACTTTGGCTTACGATCTATGATGGTGTGTATATACGTATATATGTATGTATATATAGGGAATAAGCTGTGCAGATGTTGCTGATATATGCGTAAAGGCGTTGCACGACTCAACGGCAAGAAACAAGAGCTTTGATGTGAGTAATTACTTATTTATTATTTCGTTTGTTCTAATTTAACTGAGTGGAATCTCTTATTTAATTATGAAATTATCAGGTATGTTACGAGTACGTAGCTGAGCCTGGGAAAGAGCTCTACGAGTTGGTAATAATCGATTGTTTTTTTCGTTGGTATTAATTTAATCTATTGTTCAACTTCAAAAATCGTGTATTTTTGGCTTTTTATATAGGTTGCTCATTTGCCTGACAAAGCAAATAATTATCTAACGCCGGCGCTTTCGGTTCTTGAGAAGAACACTTGATGTCGATGCTCGACTTTTGTTTGATTTTGTTTTTTTATTTTGTATATTTTTGTTTCGTGTGTTATTATTGAAGGGAAGGTGTATGTTGTCAAATATATATATGTGTATATATTATACAGGAACCATGTGCATTTTCAGTTCATTCTCAATTCATACCAGAAATTAAAATTAATATTTTTTTTATTCATACCAGAAATTAAAATTAATATCTTTTTTAGGATTTTGGAAAAGAAAAAAAAAGACACATAATATTGGGGTGAGAGAGGCTCGAACTCTCGACCTCAGGATAACTCAGAAGCTATGAGACCTACGCGCTAGCCAACTGCGCCACCACCCCCTTGTATTTAACTGTTCACTTTATCTGAATTCACTATTTAATCTTCCTGTGTGTGAAATGAGTTATGGTTGGTGTATTAAAATTTTAAAACCATTGATATATATAAATAACCACACACTAATCACACGTAAATATGGATGTATGTATATTATTATGTCTAGATTAATAATTCAAAAATTTTAGTTGTATTTCATCGGGTGTTGCATCTACAAAACCCTTAATTCAAAACACTATATGTACCTTCGAATATAAGACTTATCAATCTTAGGTGTGATATTGTGATTGTAATTAATTTTGTACTTCAAAAAAATATTGTAAATTTTTCGATAAAATTAATTTCGATCAGTTCCACCCGACTATCAGCCTACAACTATTAGATTGATAATTTATTCTTTAAAAAAAAATAAGAATGCCACCAAACAAGTTTCACGTTTTTATTTCAAACCAAACTCCACAAATCACATCCCACCAGATCAAATTGAGTACAATTATTAACAATAAACAGAACAAAGAAAAAAGAAAATGAAATAAAATAAATAAATAAAAACATTTATGACATTAATATTTAATTAATATAACCAACCGTTGTTGAGCAGAGTGACGTTGATCAACTTCTCCAAGTTCCGGTACGAAGACCCGCCGGGCTTCGCCGCCGCGCAAGCCTTCTCCTTCCACTCCGCCGCCTTCTTCCTCATCACCACCCCCTCCTCCCCTTCCATCATCACCTTAACCATTCTCTCCACCTTCCCCCTCGTCACATCGCCTTCGATCTCCACTCCAATCCCCCATTCTTTACAAGCGTATCTGCAATTCGTCTGCTGCTCTGCGAAAAACGGCCAGCACACCATCGGAACCCCCTCCGATATAGTCTCCACCGTCGAATTCCACCCGCAGTGTGTCAGAAACCCCCCCACCGCCGCGTGCGCCAGAACCTTCTCCTGCGGGCACCACCCCACCAGCAAACCCCGCCCCTTCGTCTCCTCCAGAAACCCCTCCGGCAGTACCGAACCCTTCCCGTCGACCAAATCGGGTCGGATTATCCATAAAAAATGGTGGTTGCTCTGCGCCAAACCCCACGCGAACTCAACCATTTGCCCCGGCGATAACGGCGTAATGCTGCCGAAATTGATGTACAGAACGGCGTCGTTTTGCTTCTTATCCAACCAATCCAAACACTCCATGTCTTCCTTCCACAGATTCGATCCGATGGATTCACCGCCGCCGCCGCCGTAAATCTCCTTCTCGAGAAGCTGGAGGGGGCCGATCGTGTAGACGGTGTCGAATCTGGATCTGACGGCGGAGAGTACCTCCTCCTCCAGCTCGTCGAATGTGTTGAGTATGACGGCTTTAGCTCTCGACGCGTTTTCGTGCTGTACGATGTTGTAACTGACCATGATTTCATCGGGATCTGTGGTTCTGATGAACGTCGGAATATCTCTCAGGCGAATGCCTTTCATTCCGGGTATGAAATCAATCTCCGTCTCCAAATACCCATTGCTGAAGCAGCTCTCATCTGCGTAATTAATTAAGTTAATTTAGAGTTAATTAATTAATTACTGCATCTGTTCCACAATAACTGTCTCTTTTTTAAATATTTTTGTTTCATATCATCTGTCACTTTAGATTTCCAATGCTGCATTAAATGCATTTTTCCTGTTTTAATCTTATTAATGAAACTCTATTCATTAATTTTCTTTTATAAATCATTAAATATTAAATGTTGTTTTAGTCATTTTTATATGATTTTTCTAAAATCAAGATATATTTATTGAGTTTCTTAATTTTTGTGAAAAGCGAAAAAGTGACAATTATTTAGGAACGGAGGAGGAAGTACCTTTGAAAGGGACGAATCCTCTGGAAACGAGCTCGGAGTAGTGCAGGTAGGCCATGAAGCCGCAAGCGCTGGTGGTGAAGAAGACAACCTCGGGAATCCCGAGCTTGTCGGCGGCGTCGAGGGTGAAGCTCATGACACCGTCGGAGACAATGCAGCTGACGGCGGGGCAGTCCGGCGAGTCGTTGAGGTTTCCGATGAGGTCTAGAAATGGAGGGAGGCAGGTTCGGGAGATGGACTGGGAGAGGAGGGGGATGTCTTGGGTGGCGTCGGAGTTGGAGGGCGGAGGGAGGCCGTCGGGGATGGTTTTGAACTGGAAGTCAGGGAGGCCCTTGACGGAGTCGGGGCCGCGGGAGCGGAGGAGGCGGTTGTGGTTGAACTCGGTGTTGACGAAGGTGATGAAGAAGCCATTGTTGTGGAGGAGTTTCGCGAGCTTCAGGACTGGGGCGATGTGGCCTTGTGCTGGGTATGGGATTACCACGGCGTGTGGCTTCATTTAATTTTTCTTTTTTTTTTTTTTTTTGGAATTTGTTCACCTACCTATTTTTTTTATTTTTTATTTGAAGTGTTGGTGATGGATTAAATTAGGAAACATGGGGGTTGTATTTATATGTTGGTAGTGGAGAAATGGGTGGTGGTGGTTTATCTTTTGTTTTGAATTTGATATATATATATTTTTTGATATATTATAGGTATCCATGAGGTAAACTCAAATTACGAAAACTTCATTGTGTTTGAGTAATTATAAGTTACAACCGTTCTATCGACTATGAATTTTCTTACACGTTTACCCTGATGGTGTCAAATTGAACAGAATCTTCTAGATTTCGTGGAATGTTCTCTAGTTTGTACTAGTTTTGTGCAAAAATGCAGTTTCTGATACACCACAACCTGATATTTACAAGTCAATAGACACATCTTATGGTTATCTTGTTTCAAAATGTGGAGCTTGAATGGAGTAAAACGGGTACAAACGGGAGAATGTTCCACATAATATAGAAGATTCCATTAAATTTGACATCGCAATGGTTGACGTATGAGAAGATTCATAGTTGTGGAGGTGGTTGTAACTACCCAAACATGAGGGTTTTTTTTAGCAATTTGACCTTACCTTAGGGGGTTGGACATAATTTACCTATATTTTTTTCTATTGAAAACAAAATGTGCAATTATATATATATATAAATTAGGTATTCGTGTAATAGCTTGTAAATCGTTCGAAAGATGTGAATTATATTAGAGTAATCTCGTGTGACAAATTTGATCTAGAATGTGTTCGTGAAGGAATTTGAAATCGGCTCAAATGGTACTGAATTTCTCTTAATTCAAGAGCTCGTCAGTCGTTCTTTCCAGAACACCTATATTATTGATAGCGTTCATTTAAATACATAATAATATTTCTCCCAAAACTGAGGCCCCTTCATTCGTCAAATCAAAATCAAATAAAGAGTGATGGCTATAGTTTTGGCCCCAAAGTAGATGTTGTGACAATCATTTTTGGCCAACAAAAAACGTGGAATTTAGATTCTATTTAAATTCTAGAAGTTCCGAATTTGCCAAACGTGGGTCTGATGAAATTTTGCCTAAACAACAATATAATGGTGGTAGTTGAACTTCGTTGGTAGAACACGTGCAATTTGTACTTTGGTTCTAGAGTGTTCACTTACACTTACTTGCCTAAAAGCCCAAATTGAAAGAAAAAGCCCTATAGGAAGCTCAAAGTTGGCCCAAATTTAAGACCGTCGCAATATGTGAGCAGCAGATGCGACAACATTCGCCCCAACTTCAAAGATGTAGTTGGAAAGCTTGGACCACGTGGACTGAAAAGGAGGTCCACTCCACCAACCAACATCGAGCTCGCTTAAGGCAATTAAAAACAACAACGAATCGACCCAGATCGCAATAAGAGGAAGCTGTCCGCGTTCAGTAGAGGAAACAACTCAAAACAAGTCATGTTACTGTGCCCGTGCATCGTGGTTTGACATGAAAGGGGTCCCACCAGATCCATTCTTATGACATGTATAAATACAACGGTCGAAGGAAAAGGTAGTGGGGGGGTTTCATTATGTAAGAAATATTATATTCAGTATAGCATTCTTTGAGAGACAATCGTTTACCCGACTAGTTTGACCCGTTGAAATGCTTAGGCCCATAAAATCTCTCGGCACTTCTTCTGTGCAAGTTCTGTGAAATTCCTCTAGAGCAGTTGTGCTCCTCTTTGGACGAGTTCTCTTTCACCTCGGGTTTCTCCTCATTCTCGATAGGGGTGAGCAAAAAAACCGAGAAACCGAAAAACCGAACCGAAAACCGAAAAAACCGAGCCGATATGTACCGTCCCGACTTAAAACCGCATATACAGTAAATTTTTTTTTGAAAAACCGAAAATATCGGTTTGTGTATGGAGAATAAAAAAATTGCCGAACCGATTTCCCGAACCGAACCAATTTATACAAAATGATGTCTTTTTGATATATAGCATAAATACTTACCCTAGCGTACTTCCAGGGGCGGATCTTTTAAGGGGGGGGGGGGGGGGGGGGGGGGTTCCCCCCCCAAGATTAAAAAAAAAAAATTTTTTTTAGGTATTTTGGTATTTTAATATTTGAATATTACTTTTGACCCCCTAAAGTTTTTGTAAATATGTGTCTTAATCCTTAATTTTTTTTTTCTTCTCCACAATCTTATATAAATATTTTGGTTAAATTTGTATTATTTTATATAAGATCTATGAATATTTACTTATTTTGGAATTTTTTTTATCGGTGTCTCTTAAAAATAATATGAGATGATGCCATTAATCTCCAAAATATTTAAGTGCAATGCATTAAGATTTTTTTGTCATGCTTAAAATATGATAAAACTATAATATATATGCTATTTTAATTAAAAAATTATCAATATAAACTTATTTTTGCTATATCTTGTGAACCTAAAAATTTTTTCGGGGCGCTGCCCCGAACCCCGAAATTTTAGTTAGCCCCCCCTATATTTTGATCATGGTTCTGCCCCTGCGTACTTCTATCTTTCGAGCGCCTCCATGTGACATGTTTTTCTATTAATTAATTTTGGTTGTGACGTGTTTTTTATTAGTTAATTTTTGTTCTTATTTGTTAATTTTCTCAAATAAATATAATGAAAGGCCAAATATATCGGTTTTATGCCGAACCGATTCGAACAAATAGACAAAAAATAAACCGAATTGATACCGAAATCGTTAACCGAAAAACCAAAAAACCGATTAACACCGAACTGTAAAAAACCGACATATTCGGTTTTTAAAGCATGAAAAACCGATATTACCAGTACGTGTTTGGTTTATTGGAAAAACTGAGCCGTACCGACCCGTGCACACCTCTAATTCTCAAGGCTGATTCCGTATTATTATTATCATTCATTAAATGCCACTGCAATATTAGGTATCCACAATCATTAATTTTCCAAACGATATTTGACAGACAAACCTTACAACGACACTACATTTTACCCTTTTATATGATACCCTTTTTGGTAATTTCACACAGCTCGTTGATGGGCTTTGTTCAAGGACTAGAATCAACACTAGTTTTGACTTGATACACAATCTATTAAAAGAGGGATAATATGGTGGGCCCAATTATCGACCCAATTTAATTTTCAGAACCAAACAATGGATCGTATCAAAATTGTGTACTATTACAAAATTTAAACCTTTTACGAAATGTATAGAAAAAATAAAAGGTTCACTAATTATATTGAGTTATATGAAAAATTCATATAACACGTGCTACATAATTGATTGTGTGCTTTGATGTATATATTTACAACGCACTAATGATCCGGGTGGGTGATGACATAATTATCCGGTAGATCAAATAATAATCGAATATCTTTGACACTTATATGTTGAATAATATATAAAATTAATGTATACTCATTTCTTAACTGCAATTGATTTGTTATATGAGATGTTACATCTGGCGTAACACAAATCGGACAATTTTGAACCATAATATGTAAAGAATCATCTGTTAAGCACACATACGCATAGATGCGTGTGCTATTATGTTTAGATCAATAGCTCAAATTCATCTAATATATTTCATCGAATGTATCATCTGCAAAATCAGTAAACCGAAAAATATATATGAAGAAAAAAGGTAGAAGTTTTATTGTAACAATTATTGGTAGCATGTCGGTTTCTACAATTTATTGTTAAATATGTAAATAATATTGGCAAAACAAAAGTTGACTTTTGGAGTGAAAGGAAAATGTGTTTGACTGGAAGGTGGATGAAGAGTAGTTAGAATTTTCTCTCTTGCCTAAGCCTGTCCACCTAACTCATACACATGTGAGATTATTGTATTTTGTTTGGGTTGTCTAATGTTTTTATATTAATAACAACTTTTCAGGTTGACCAGCAAATATTATGTTATCATAATGTATATTCCACTATTTTGTATATCAAAACTCTTTAGTGGATGCCCCGGAATTCGATAAAAGAATTGTACTTTTATTCGATTATTTAATCTTATCTTGTTAACTATACGATTACATTATTAATGTTAACAAAATTTCTCGCATAACACATTTTTTTTTCTTTCGGATATTCAACTCCCTAAATATTTTGTGTTACTATATATAGTGGATCTCTTAGCAATTATTAAGCCTTGTTTGACCAACAAGATATGATTAATCAAAATAAAATTAAATAATTTAAATAAATATAATTGCACTATTTGATCATTGAAGGTTTCAGTTAAAAAATTAAAAAAGTTCATACAAGCAAAGATAAATTATGATAATGTAATATTTTGAAATCGATCCAAAAGATTATTAAAAATACCAAACATTAAATAAAGTATAATTATTTAATTAATTATGGTTAATCTTAGACATGGCCACGGGCCGGGTCGGGTCCGGGTCTGGGTCGGACCCGCCGGGTCCGGGTCCTACTTTTTTGGGACCCGAAACCGACCCGCGTGGAGGCGGGTCCGGGTCCGGGTCGGGTCCACTCGGGTCCTCCGGGTCCGGGCCGGGTCCGGGTCGGGTCCGGGTCCAAAATCGGTTCTTGAATTTTTTTTTTTTTTTTATTTAATTTTATTATTTTCGGGTCGGGTCCGGTTCGGGTCCGGGTGGACCCGAGTTTCTAGCCGTTGAAATTAAAAATAAAAAATAAAAAATTTGAATTTTCGGGTCGGGTCCGGGTCGGTTCCTGGTAGACCCAAGTTTCTAGCCATTATAATTTAAAAAAAAAACATTTTTTGAATGCTCGGACCGGGTCCGGGCCGGGTCCGGGTCGGGTCCGGTTCGGGTCCGGTTCCTAGCCATTGCATTTTCGAATTTTGAAAAAATAAATAAATTTTTATTCGGGTGGACCCGACGGGTCCTCGGGTCGGGTCCTCGGGTCCGGGTCCTCGGGTCCGGGTCCTCGGGTCCACCCGCCGGGTGGACCCGTCGGGTCTCGGGTCCAAAATATCGGGACCCGAAACCGACCCATACATTTTCGGGTCCGGGTCCGGGTCCATGGTCAACGGGGCGGAGCCGGGCCGGGCCGGGGCGGTCGCCGGGTCGGGTCCGGGGCGGGTCCGGGTCAGACCCGACCCGTGGCCATGTCTAGTTAATCTCATCGAGAATACATGCAATACAAACCTTACCGTATTTCACACGTAAGCTGTGTATAACTGCCAGCTGGGTTTTTTTTTGGGTGTTTATAAATTGATTTCTTGATCCTCTATCTCTTCTTCTCGGGACTTGTGTTATCAATTTGGTTGTTTCCTAGAAAACAAAATTCGATAGCAAGAGGACAACAATTCCACCTCTGCACTATTATTCATTTAGGGAAACTTGATTCTTTGAATTATTGGACGGTAAATTACTAAATTGGTATGAGATATAAGAAAATTAATGAATTGAAAAATAATTTTGCTCCTTTCTATAAAAAAACTAAAAAAAAAATATATACATTACAAATAATAAATATTAATATTATGCTAAAGAATAACAACATTAATATTAAGCTTATAAAAAAAAAGGGTAAATTACACCCACACCCCTGAGGTATGCTTAAATAACTTTAAGGTCTCTGTAGTATCAATAATTACACTTATTCCCTTGAAAGTTGAAACCATAGTAGAAAAATGACTTTTTACTACGATCATTAACCGTAGCAAAATGTATCAAATTCGTGTTAAAAAAACTTTTGCTACGAATTTGCCCCGTTACATAAACCGGCGTGACAAAAGTTTTGCTACGGTAAATGGCCGTACCAATACATTTTTGCTACGGTAAATCCTAGTATTTACTACGACTTCAAAATTGTTTCGTAGTAAAAAGTACATTTTATTACGATTTTGTACCGTGGTAAAATAATTCGTAGTAGTAAGCAAATTTTCTACTAGTGAACCTAGTTATAAACTCTATGGGATAATGCATATTGGATACATAATTACGATAGAGTTCTAACGGACTATTGGTTTCAGGAAGTGGTGGAGACAACAAAGAGTATGAGTGATTTAAGAAATGTTGGGGGAGCCATATCGTCACCCCATAACTCTATGTTATCTCCACCACTAGCTAAAAGTAATAGTCCGTTAGAACCCTATCGGAATAATGTATCCAATGCATTATCCCATTAGAGTTTCTAACTACGTTTCACATGGGTGAGTATAATTATCGATACCATAAAGACCTTAAAGTTATTTAAACATACCTCATGTGTACGTAGTTATAATTTAAACCAAAAAAACTTAAGAAGATGAAGACGTCCTACCTACCACGAAACAATATACATTTTCGTATAATCCTTCATAAGTTAATTGGTTAGAGTCATCATTGCAATATAAATATAATTATTTTTTCCTTGAAAGCTACTTCATATTTTCTAATTAACTATTTATAATTACATAGGCCCCCACCTACCCATTGGACGTGATTCTACGAATTACATGTCTTTGAAAGTTGACTCTGGCATTAAGTGAAATGTTTTCCTAATTTGAAAATTGTTATTTACCGTTCATAAAAAAAAATTATTTATCTCTCTAAACCCTTAAAATCTCCCAAAAAAACTCAAAAACCCCCAAACTGCAAATAGCAAAAAAAAAAAAAAATCGAAAATTCGAAATCAAGCTTGAAGAAGGGTTGGACTTCGATTTTTTGAGGTAATTTTGACTCTTTTATGTGTAATATGCATTGGGTAGGTCGATTACAAAACCAATTTCATGTTAAACATTTCTACAAATCGATTTGTAGGGCTTTTTTTTCGCACATACATGGTGGAACCCCAAGTCGGGCGCCCATGGCGTGCATGAACGCCCGTTTCGGGCGTTCGTACACGCCCTGGGCGCCCGACTTGGGCGTTCAATTAAGGTGTAGCCACCCGATTTGGGCGTTCAGTTTAGTGTTTTGAACGGTACCTAGCAATTTTCAAATCGTAAAAAGCAAGTCCCGACATTAATCAGATTTATAATAAGGCCTAACAACACACGCACTCAAAACACGCATCGAAAGAGATTTAACACTCTGCCCTCTCACCTAGGGATGGCCATGGGGCGGGTCCGGGGCGGGTATCACAATCCCCGCACCCGCCCCGTTTGGAAAATCAAGCAACCCTCACCCGCCCCATACCCGTTGCGGGTTGGAATTGTAGAACCCGCCCCGCCCCATTTTGCACCCGCGGGTACCCGCCCCGTTTGACGACCCCTTTTTTTCTCCCTTCCATTATGGCTTTTCCTTCTTACTTTAAAATATAAAAATCAATTTTAGTTCCTTAAAAAAAATATATAGACTTGTTTTTTCCAATGCAAATATATATACTTGCTAATTACTAAATACGATAGAAATATAAATCAAAATCAACAATCATTTTATAAAATATAATATACATTATATTAAATATACATATAACGGTATTATATGTAAATAAAAAATATGGGTGGTTAACGGGGCGGGTACGGGTCGGATACAGGAAAAATTTTACTACACCCGTACCCGCCCCTTACCCGTTGCGGGTATAAATTGTAAAACCCTTACACGCCCCAATCCTTAACGGGGCGGGTATTACCCGTCGAAAACGGGACGGGGCGGGGCGGGTACCCGCCAGGTCGGGTAATATTGCCATCTCTACTCTCACCAAACACTGCTACAAGAGAGAAGCTTTTGGTAACACTAAGCTAAAGCTCAGTTGGTCATGATCTCGCTTTAGATGTAGCAAGCACCCACACAATTTTATGTATACTTGTATACGTAAACGAATGATAAATAATGTATTTCGCTCGATGTCGTATCCGAATTGAATTATCCAATTTTCAAGTGTTACGTTGGACATATTTTCCCTTTAGACTAATAATAATTATAATTAGGCAAAGCATAAATAAATGTGTGCTTTAGTTAAATAACTTCTACATTATTGAATAATGGATGTAGCCCTTTGTAACCTAGAAATTAGAATTAACTCGGTTTGAATAAAAGTGGGTAGTGGGACCCATGCAAGTAATTATCGTTAGTATGAATATAACCAATCAACACGGAATGGGATTCGTTGACAATTGTTTGACTTTATTTCTTTCTTATCTTAGAATTGGTCTTTAATTATGTTCTAGAAAAATTACACTGATTATGACAAATGTGTACCCCTTCCTTTCTATTTTATTTGTCTTTTTAGAGATTTTTTTTTTAATTTCAAAATAAGGTCACTTTACAATTCTAATAAAACAATTATTGTGTTTTTCTCAAATTTGCCCTTTACTATTGTTAAAAAAAAAATTAATGATGAAGTAATTAATGAGAGTGGTTTTTTAGTTATTTTATTATAATTTTTCTAGAATTCATGCACATTTATTGGTTTTCTTAATCTGCGTGTATGAGCTCCAAACGAAAAATAAAATGAGGAGGGAGTATTTAATTATTTCTTCTAAGTACAAATGCCTTTGAAAAAAAAAACATAATCATCAACATGGTGCAAAAGAAGTGGAAATCAACACACACATAGAAAAATTTTATGCAAGAACCAAATTAATTTAGAAATCAAATTAAAACTTTAGTTCTTGAGAAGAATCTCATTGATCAAGAACTCCAAATTCTTGTAAGAAGATCCACCTGGCTTAGCAGCCAATTGAGCCTTCTCTTTCCACTCCAATGCATTCTTCCTCATCTCTTTCCCTTTCTCTCCCTCCATCAAAACCCTAACCAAATTCGCAACTTTCTCTCTCTCCACCTCCCCCTCGATCTCTAACCCTGTTCCCCAATCAGTGCACGCGTATCGACAATTCGTCTGTTGCTCCGCAAAAAACGGCCAACATATCATCGGCTTTCCCTCCGATATCCCCTCGACGGTCGAGTTCCACCCGGAGTGGGTCAAGAACCCGCCCACTGAGGGGTGGGCCAGGACCTGCTCCTGGTTGCACCACCCCACCATGTGGGCCCGGCCCGAAACCTCCTCTGAGTACTCCTCAGGAAGGACGGCCGAATCCCCACTGACCAAATCGGGCCTAATGATCCATAAAAAGTATTGGCCGCTATTGGCTAGGCCCCACGCGAACTCCAGCAGCTGCTGGGGCGACAACACCGTGATGCTGCCGAAGTTCACGTAGAGCACCGAGTTCGGGGCGCGCTTGTTCAGCCATGCAATGCATGCGTCGTCCTCCTTCCAGAGGCTCGACCCGATCGATTTGATCTCGGGCTTCTCGACCTCGTGCTGCTCGAGAAGCTGGAGCGGCCCGATGGTGGCGACCGTGTCGAACTTTTCCCTGAGTGCGTCCAGAACCTCCGCCTCCAGTTCGTCGAACGTGTTGATTATTACTGCTTTCGCCCTCGTCGCGTTCTTCGTCTGCAGGATGTTGTAGTTGACCATGATGTCTTCGGGGTCCGTCGTCCGGACGAAGCTCGGAAAATCCCTCAGCCGGATTTTCTTCATCCCCGGAACCCAATCCAGCACGGTGTCGAGAAATCCATTCGTAATTTGGCTTTCGTCTGCAAATCAACATCAAGAAAATCATTAAAAAAGAAAAAAATCAGAAAAAATATAACAGCTCGCAAACCATACGACAGTAAATTAATCAAATCACAAAAAATATAACAGCTTGCAAAGCATACATAACAAGATCACTTATTACACTAACTAGAAACACAAAAAGGATAGAAATTAAATTAGTATAATATACCTTTAAGTGGAAATAGTCCACGTGTCACGAGCTCGCCATAGTTGCAATAACCCATGAAGCCACAAGCGCTGGTGGTGAAGAAGACAACCTCAGGAATTCCGAGCTGTTCGGCAGCGTCGAGGGTGAAGCTCATAACCCCATCGGAAACTATGCAGCTGACTTTCGGGCATTCCGTTGACTCGTTGAGGTTCTTGATGAGGTCCAAAAATGGCGGGAGACCGTTCTTGCGGAGCGAATCGCAGAGCTGGGGTATGTCCTGTGTCGAGTCCTTGTCGGAAAAGGGGAGGCCGTCGGGTATGGTTTTGAACTGGAAATCCTCAAGCCCGGAAACGGATTCGGGCCCTCTGGCCCGAACGAGGCGGCTGTGGTTGAATTCGGTGTTGACGAAAGTGACGAAAAAGCCCCTGGCGTGGAGCAGTTTTGCCAGTTTTAGAACAGGGGCGATATGCCCCTGTGCCGGATATGGGATTAGTACGGCGTGAGGCTTCATTTTCTTTTTTTTTTTTCTTTTTTGTTTTGTTTGCTTTATTGGGAAATAAAAATGATGAATGGATTGTTCTAACTTCTATATATAGGTGGAAATTGAATATTTTTTTTTCAATTTCCAATTAAAAAAAAATTATAAAAAAAAAATCAGAGTTTATTAATTAATTCACGTCCAGACGACTTTTAGTTGTGAACTGAAAGACTTGATCATTTAATTAATTGGATTTGTAGATCTGATTTCGATTTACTATTATAGTAATTTAACTGCAGATCACATGTTACAGACCTGCTGTCAATATTTTTTTTTCTTATAATTTTTTTTTTTAATTTTTATATTTGAACCAACTTGGAAGTGAGCCGTAATAATAAAATAAAATAAAATTGATTGGTGGGATATCAATAAATATGGTCAACTAGATGCAGCTGTTGAATCTAAATTAAGATATTGCTGCCAGATTTGGAGTATAGTTTTATAATATTTTCACTTTCCCAAGGCTAAGGATGATCCGTTAATACTGCGATTTATCGGGTGAAATATATCGGGCATATTTTCATTATTCACAAGCATGCAGATACGTATATACACACATTTGTATGTGTAGATGAATATTGAAAAATCACTCGACGTATCCTTCACCGAGTGTAGTATATAAATAACATGAACAGAACTGTAGTGATATCATGATTATCAAAAATGTATTTAATTTATTTTCTTTGATAATATTGGTTTTTATTAGGAGTGAAACAAAAAGATAGTCAAACTACTCAAACTCAACGCAGTGTAGACAATTTTTCTTGTTTTTTTTGGGAATATTTTATTATTTTTTGACCAATAAACTTTGTGATGTCGACAAAGGAAATAAACAAATACTATATATAATTGAAGTGTAGGTGGGAATCAACTCTCTTGCAATTGGGAAGGGCATCTAATTTCCTCTACCCCATTTCCTCAATTTTTTTTAATTTAATTTAAATTTTTTTTTTATGAGTTATGACAATTAATCGTTGTATTCAATTATTTCTTTAAGATCCGATACTTGCTTTGCTACGCACTACAAGAAAAAAATGGCACTACAGAATTGTGACATAATCAAAAATTGTCGCTAAATACATATATTAAATATAATAATATTTTTATGTGATCACTAGTGTCTAGTAATTGTTTAGATATTCCATCAAATACAAATGTAGTGATAATATTTTCTTTTGTCTAATCATATAAAAATTGATGTTGTCACTCAAAAAATTATTGTTATAGTCGACGTCATGGATGCTGCTGAACGACGGGTAAAAATCATAAAAAAATCCATGTGTTATAGCTAGGTTGTTATAGAAAACATGCGTTAAAACCCCTTGTTTTAATTTAATTGTGTAGAATTCTCTGTAGTTTATTTTATCTTAAATGAAATTACCTATTATATTAACTTTTAACACCGTTAATTATTAAGGGAATTCTGTGTGAACCTTTTTAGTAACACTTAAGGGCGTTTGGTGCATATTTTATACAACACAAAGGGGATTTATGCCAAGATAATTTAATTATTTATTTATAAATATTGGAAATATGTAACAATTTTGATATACTACAGTTTGGATAAAATAAATATGTATAATTTTGGAAAAATATGCTTTTAATATAGATAAATTAAAAGTCATCAAAAAATAAATAAAAAAAGTCAAATTTTACTTAAAATTTTTCCGTAACACTAGGGTGATTTACATTGTTTATCCGCTAAACAACAACGCATTTCTTGATAATCAATAAATATAAAATTAATAATTAGATTAAATTGACTTACACAAGTAGGTGTCACGGACAAAGTATCCACATGACATGTAACGAGTATGTCTGGTTGAAATTATTATTGCACAGTGCTATTAGGTAATAAATTATATTAAATATCTGTAATATTGGACACTTTCGAATACAGCAATTGAACAAGTGGTTGGGTTTATCTCATTCTCAATTCATTGGTCCCCGTTTCAAGATTGGGCAGATTTTCCGACTCGTTTTAGTTCAAATTTGGAGTACCTGTTTTTTGATCTATAAAGCCAATTGTTAATGCACCTCCAATATATAGGAAGTGTTTAATTTGTTATATTAATTTTTTACCAGCATTACTTCGCGTGCAATGCCCGGAAAACTATTTTAAGATGTGGAAAAAATAATTATTTAAATAAAAAATATATTATAGTATTATAATAAAATTTATTAGTAATATTTAAATTATAGTATTCAGAAAAATCTGATGATAATGATACGAAGTTACTGCGCAAAAGATTATATAAACTTAATTGTCATGAAACGAATTAATTAAATTGATCTTTAAAGAAATGAAATAATTAATAATGCAAACATTTAGGGCTTGTTTGATAGCCTCTTAATGGCATCTGAATGGGCATGTATACTTATTCGGTCAGCACTATCTCATTAAACTTGTTTGGTAAGAATGTCATAACAAAATCATTTACTTCTTATTGATTCAGCCTAAAATTGACCACTTATTCGGTAAGAGATTGCTCTGAATCCATTTGAGACAAATATATCCTTAGTTTTATTTTATTCGCAATATATTACTCCGAACTAAGAAATGCAAGAAATGGGTGTCAGTTGTTTCAAATGGCCCATTTAACAAAATAATTAATGTAAATTTAGTTTTTTGTTAAATTATTATTATAATGAAATATAATTTCACACACACACACACACATATATATATATATATATATATATATATATATATATATATATATATATCTTTCCACAATTGGTATTGTGGAATTTAATTTGGTTACTTCTTTTTTCTTTTGCAATTTTTGTTAAATCTTTTAAATTATGTTGAAAATTTTATTTGATTATATTTATTAAAAGTATAGGATTTGGATTTACAACTTTTATTTGTGTGTAAATAAATATAATATATAATTAAAAGGTATACAATTATTTTTTAATTTTGATATTTTTTATTTAATAATTTACAATTCCAGTAAATAAATATATGTTCAATAATTATGAGGATTTATATAGGAAAATTACATTATTCAGATACAATAACGTTAATGTTATCAAAAAAGCTTAAACATTCAGCATTCAGTATTCAGACACTGCTCTTAACGATTCAGCCATATATTCAGCATTCAGTGTTCAGTGCTTAATAGTTAATTCTACCAAACAGGCCCTTAGTGTTAGGATTTTGAACTTTTTATAATTCGAAAATTAGTAGAAAAAAATTATTATAAAAATGCAATTAAGGTTGCTTAGGTTACTCGTTGAATTTAATTAGGTTATGATTAGGGTAAATCACAACCACCCTTCTGAGGTAAGGTTTATTTACGAAAAAACTCCTCATTTTTCCACACGTACAACCACCCCCGCTACTTGTAGATTTCATTCATTAACAAACTTTTGTAGGGAGGTGGATGTAGGAAATTTCTGAAACGTGGGGGTCCGAATGTAATTTTTCAAAATAAAGAGGTTTTTGTGTAATTACGCTTTATCTGAGGGAGGTCCTCATAATAGGGCCGAGTAATACCTAAAGTAACAAGATTATAAAATTGAACCACTGGATCAGATCTAAGTGGGCCGGGGTATATTATTTGGGTCAATTCTTATACTCTATTCAAATGTGTGTAGAGGTTTTCACTACTTCATGCACGTTGGTTGAATAAATAAATCAATTATTAGATATTTTGATCTAAACGATCGATCTTAAATCGAATATCGAATAGGTTGATTTGATTCAGCCGTAAACAATAATGACTTGAATCCATAGATAAATACAATATATCTTAGATCCATCCGGTTAAATATCTTATAGCAACGACCACACTATATACCCCTGTACGTATCGATATCTCGTTTTCCAATTATACTAATATGTAAAAATACTTGCATGTTCAATGTATGCATACATTGAGTAAAATTAAAACTGTACGTTTAAATACTCATAATGAGAAATAATAAGTTATTTTTTTATAAGATCCATGTATATATATATATATATAACAACTATTTGTTGTTCGCTTTATTATTTAATAAAGTACTTATTGTATGCCTAACATGCATGCATGCATGTGTAGACGAAATTTAACGTAGAAGAACATCCTTGATGAGTTTATCCAAATTCACGTAGGAAGAACCACCCGGTGCAGTTGCCTCCTCTGCTTTTCTCTTCAATTCCAAAGCTCTCTCCTTCATCTTCTTCCCCTTATCACCGTCCATCACCTCCCTCACAGCCGCCGCCACGTCATCCCTCTTGACATCGGTATCTATCTCAAACCCAATCCCCCACTCCACGCAACTGTACCTACAGTTGGTTTGCTGGTCCGCGAAGAACGGCCAGCAAATCAACGGCAACCCACCATTCGCAATGCTTTCTATTGTCGAGTTCCACCCGCAGTGCGTTAGGAACCCTCCAGTGGCGGGATGCTTCAGCACCCGCTCCTGCGGGGCCCACCCGACCACCACGCCCCTGTCGCGTACCTCCGCCATAAATTCCGGCGGCAGGGCGGCTCCGCCGCCCTCTACCGCGCGCGTCGGGCCTGATGCACCAGATAAAAGGTTTCCGGCTGTCCGCCAGACCCCACGCGAACTCCTCCAGCTGCTGACGTGTCGCCACCGTGATGCTGCCGAAGTTGACGTACAGTACGGAGCCGGGGTGTTGGGCGTCGAGCCATTTGATGCAGCTGTTGTCTTCTTTCCAGAGACTGGCGGCGGCGCGGGTAGTTTGATTGATGAGTGGGCCGATTGAGTAGATGGGGAGTGGGGCGTACGCGGCGGAGATCGCGTGGAGGGTGTCTTGTTCCAGGGCGTCGAATGTGTTAAAGATTATGGCTGTGGCTCTTTGTGAGGCGTGGGCTTGTTGTATGGTGAAATTGAGCATAAAATCTTGAGGGTCTGTTGTACGGATGAAAGATGGGAAATCCTTCAATCGAATTCGTTTCATTCCTGGGATTTCGTCCAACGTTGTCTCCAGATACCCATCTGTTATCTGATTCATGTCTGTAAAACTCAAGACATTGCAGAAACATTAACTTTTTTTATTAAAATAATAATTTCTCCAATCAATTTCGAATCAATGTACAATGTTTTTTATTTTATTTAATATTATTAGTTAATTTAGATTTTATAATAATTATTTAATAAAAAAATTGTCAATTAATTGGAAAATTTGTCATTATATAAATATATTTTTTTGGGTTTTGTGCATAAGTCCCAACCAAGCATTTTTATTATTCTAGGTTTAGGGGCTATATCTCTTTCATCAATAAGCCCATCCCTTTAATATTTATGCCAATATTACCCCCAACCCAAACCTTTATACCCAATTCTTAATTGTAACCCCAATTTAATCAATTTTGTCCACAAAAATCTAATTTTGAATTTCTTTTTTCAAAAACTTTTTTTTTTCAATTTTTTTTTTGCCGCCGGATTCCGGCATTGACTTTTCAAAAAAAAAAAATTTCTTCCAGATTTTTTCGTCGGTCTCCGGCATTAACTTTTTTTTTTCTTCCGGGTTTTTTCGCCGAATTGCGGCGTTGATTTTTTTTAGTGTTTTTTTAAGGTTTTTTTTTTTTTTTTTTTTTTACGTCCGCCACTTAACGTTGACTGTAATTGTGCTGCCACTGACAGTAAATTAACGTAATTATACTGTCAATGACAATTAATTAACGTAATTGTATTGCCATTGACAATACATACATTTATGTATTGTTCTGCCGTTGACAGTAAATTAACGTAATATTATTATTTTTTATTTTTTGTTATTTTTTTTATTTTGTTTGATTTGTTGACAAGTCAACGTAATTATATTACTGTCGTTGACAGTAAAATAACTGTAAACACAATGATATTACTGTTAGCAACATCAATATTATTATTTTTTTGGGTTTTTTGTTTTGTTTAAGTTATTCACGGAGTAACGTAATAATATTACTGTCTATTATTGTAATATTACTGTAAACACAATAATATTACTGTAGTTGACGGTAATATTACTATTGCTATAGTAATATTGCTGTCAACCACATCAATATTATTATTTTGTTTGTACTTTTTTGTTTGTTTGAGTTATTCAAGGAAGTAACGTAATAATATTACTGTCTATTATTGTAATATTACTGTGGTTGACGGTACTATTACTGTTGTTACAGTAATATTACTGTCACTCACAGTAATATTAATTCTTTTGGATTTTTATTATGTTTACATTTGTTGAACGGTCAACATAGTAATATTTATCTATTACACAATAATAATGAGTTTTGTTGTGTTAATATTACTGTGCTAGAGATTAATATAACAATATTACTGTGTTAAACTGTAGTTTAGTTAATTTTACTGTATTTAACAGTAATATAGTTAATATTACTGTCAATCAAAACAATATTGCTGTTTAAACGAAAAAAAAATGTTACAAAAGAAAAAGAAAAAAAAAATTAAAAAAGTCAACGTCGGAGACCGGCGAAAAAATCCGGAAGAATTTTTTTTTTTTTTTGAAAAGTCAACGCTGGAGACCGGCGTCAAAAGATTTTTTTTTTTGAAAAAAAAATTGGATCACAATTGAATAATTTGTGAAATTTAGGGTCAAATTGAGGTTAAATTAATTTAGTGATGAAATTGTAACATATTAAAGTATGAGAGACTATTTTAGTCTTTTAATGAACACTTTTTAATGGGCTTATTTGTAATGACCCCTATTTTTTTTCGTAAAACAAATATTAAAGTAGTATGTAATAATTTTTGTTTCAATAAAATAAAGATTTTAAATTGTATATCTATTTTGAAACTTAGTTTTTAGAAAAAGTAATGGAAGAATATTTCTTAAAAAAATAATAGAATAATAATTTGTTGACAAAAAATTGCGCACTGTAAGGTGGTGTTTGCAAATGATTATTTAAAAGCAGAAGTTAGTGATTGTGATTTAAGTTAGTTTTAAGTGATTATTTCTAAAAGTTGGAGGTGTTTTCAAATATTCCGGAAAATGAATTTAAATAGAAAAAGTAGGGTTATGGATGCTTTTAAAAAAATAGCTTAAAGCAGATTATTTTAAGTGAAGCAAAAGTAAAAGTTAATTTTGCAAACACCTAAAAAAAGATTATGAGCAAAAAAAAAGCTCATAATCACTTTCAAAGCGTTTACAAACACCACCTAAGAAATGTGGCCCGTACGTGGACCTTGCTCGTCCCACTCCATGGTTGGTCCCGGTAAGACTTTTGTAAAAAGGAATATATTAAAATTATAAAGAAAAATAAATATTATGCATTAATTTTTACAAACAGAGAGAAAAATTAATACAAAAGGTTAATTTAGTGATTAGATATAAAATTAATATATATTTACTAACTATTTTAATTAATAATTTTAAATGTTTGGAGATATTAATATATATAGTTGTACCTTTGAGCGGAATGTAACCTTTCTGAACAAGATACTCGTACTGCATGGACGCCAAAATGCCGCAACCGCCCATGGTCCAGAACAACACCGCCGGCAGGCCGAGCTCCTCCGCCGCCTTCAGTGTGAAACTCATTGTCCCGTCGGCGACGATGCATGTCACCGGCGGCACACCCGCCTCGCCGGAGGAGCTATTGAGCTCTGTAAGGAGGTTGCGGAACGGCTCCAAGCAAGTCTTGCTGGTGGAGTCGCAGAGAGAAGGGATATCCTGAGTGGAGTCCTCCGATTCCGACGGCGGGAGTCCGTCGGGAATGGTGGCGAACCGGAAGTCCGGCAATCCGGCCGGGCCGCCGCCGGACTTGAGGAGGCGGCGGTGGTTGTAGTCGGTGTTGACGAAGGTTACGAAGAAGCCGCGGGTGTGGAGGAGGTTGGATAACTTGAGCATGGGGTTTATGTGGCCCTGTGCTGGGAATGGTACGCAAACTGCATGGGGTTTGTAACTTTCCGCCGCCATGGAAACCCTGGTTTTAAGTTCTCACACAGTAAGCACACACAGAGATAAAAAAAACACACAGTAGAATGTGAAATGGAATGAGAGGGGGAAGGAATGTATGTATATGCATGGGGTTTTATAGTATTGATTTCACTAGCTAGTACAAAATGGCTTTATTACTACCAGGGAATTAACATAAATTCATTTTTTATGAAAAGCCCAATGATGCGATCTCTTGTGTATCATAAGATTTCTTTACTAAACGTAAGAAAACTCTTCTTTATTATTTCTCTTCATAATAAAACCCTAGCACAATATGACTATTTAAAGATAATAAAACCCTAGAATCCTAATCTAACTAGAAAAGATAATTACCTATACTAATTAAATACCTAATAATCTCCTAACCACTACTAACTCACGGCTATATTCAATCTAATTATACTATGCTAATTAATTAATAATAAAATACTAACTAACTAATAATTAAATAATATATTAAATAATAAATCCCAACATTCCACCCCGCTTGAAATGAACCTTGTCCTCAAGGTTCGAATCAATTTGGTCCATCTCCTTTGTGTTTCCACCTATGTTTGACCTCATCGACTTGCTTCCCGATTGACTCCGAAAAACACGATGAACGACCAAACTCTTTAACACATGGCTCTTGCTGACCCCAAGAGATTCCAAAGGCTACTTTTGCGAAAATACTCAATTTTTTTCCCGATAGATAAACTTTTTTAATCGTCTTTTCAGATTTTGTCTCCTCCAAACTGACCATCGGTTCTTCGTCTCCTTTCTTTTGAACACCATGGAAATCTCCCAATATCCATAGTAGCTCTTCGCTCTCCTCTCTGGTTAATTTCTCGTCTTCGTCCCACTTTATCTCAATTGATTCCGATTCTTCTTCTTTCGGCTCTTCGTCCCACTTTATCTCAGTGGAATTCGATTCTTCTTCTTTGGGCGAACTCACAAAAATTTGGGGCTCTTCGAAAAAATCATCGTCGTCCTCTTCCTCTCCCTCCGACGATAGGCTCGGCAACAACGGCGGTGGCGTTGGCGGTGATGGTTGGCGATCCCTTCGGCTTTTGTGTTGGTGTTGACGTCGTCCTTGACTTTGTTCGAGCAATTTCTGAAAATCAATCCGTAATTTCTCTACGGATTTTTCCAATCGCTCCAACCGTCTTGTTTCTGACATCATGATTTTCACAAAGTTTTGATGTGATCTCAACTTTGCTCCAGCTTAGCTTTGATATAATCTCTGCCTTGCTAACGAAGCGTTGGTGTTATCGCAACTTCGCTCTGATACCAATTGATGCGATCTCTTGTGTATCATAAGATTTCTTTACTAAACGTAAGAAAACTCTTCTTTATTATTTCTCTTCATAATAAAACCCTAGCACAATACGACTATTTAAAGATAATAAAACCCTAGAATCCTAATCTAACTAGAAAAGATAATTACCTATACTAATTAAATACCTAATAATCTCCTAACCACTACTAACTCACGGCTATATTCAATCTAATTATACTATGCTAATTAATTAATAATAAAATACTAACTAACTAATAATTAAATAATATATTAAATAATAAATCCCAACACCCAATTGTTCTTTTTGGATTAGAAAAACGAAAAACAAAAAACAAGATTTAAAAACCAATTCTTGTCAAATTTTAAAGTTTGACTTCCCTCCAAGGTTTGACTGTTTCAAATCGCCTTGAATCTTCTAGAGGCCACAATCCGATTTCTTAAACTTTTATACCAAAAATGTAAAAGTTTTAGATCGTCTCCGCCTCAAAGATCAGATAATCAATCGTCTCGACCAATTTTTAGAAGACCAATGAAATATATGGATTTATACAAAGTGTATAAAATTTATTGACTGTATCATAGAACAAACCTTGTAGGATTCAAACTCGACAACTAATACAAGCACGTGGCTTCATGTGAACCAAAGTATGTGGTAGGAATTTTTTACACTTTTTGTATGTCTAAGATTTTAAAGTACAACCAATGTCAGGTGTGTGTTAAGTATTTCATTAATGGATCACATTTCAACTCAGGGAGTACTTTACATAAATTTTTTATTTATGTCTAAGATCTTAAAGTACAACCAAAGTTAAGTGTGTTAGGTATTTCATTAATGGATCACATTTCAATTCAGTGAGTACTGTACCTAACAAAACATGGGTAAACTACGACCAACACCCTGACCTATTGTCAATTTACACAAATCCTACTCTTGTTTGGATAATTATATCTACCCCTCAACTCTGATTTTTTCTTACATCTCCATCTTTATGGTGTCAAATTCAACATAATCATCTAGATTTCGTGGAATGTGCTCTAGTTTGTACTCGTTTTGTGTAAAAATACAGTTTCTAATGTTATGATCATCTTGCTTCAAAATGTAGAGTTCGAATGGGATAAAGCGGTTACAAAAGTGATAATATTCATATAATCTCGAAGATTTCCCCTAAATTTGAAAGCGCAAAGGTGGACGTGTAAGAAGATTTATAGTTGAGGGGGTGGTTGTAATTATCCAAACAAGATGGCGGTTTTCATAATTTGACCATACCTCAGGGGTGGTTGTAATTTACCCTAAAAAAATTAAGGTGGTTTCTTTAAATATTTTGGTCCCTTTTGCAATTCAAGATCTATTCCCATCGTATCTATTACAATCTCATCAAAATTTATAGGAAATATTAATATGAAATGATATGTTTTACGAATAATTTATTTTTTTAGTTGAGATATGCTCATTTAACATGGTATTACAGTCAGGTCAAATAGCAGGTCTTGAGTTTGGATATCACCGCGACCCATATCAAATATTTGAATTGGGAAGACTTCAAATTAATATAATTTGCCTGCACTATGAGAGGACATAGTAGAGATATTAATATTAAACGATACATTTCATTAATAGCTTACACTTTTAGTTAAGGTGATCATTCAACAAAATCAATTACAAATTAAAATTAATGACATTCACTAGAAAATTATACATTTCACTAATTGCTTACACTTTTGGTTAAGGCGGTAGTGGCCATTCAACAAAATCCACTACGAAATCAATGAAATGCACTAGAAAATTAAGGTGTATAAGATGAACGGCCTTATCTTGTTTCGAAAGGTTTTTATAAAACTTGCTCGAATATTTGAACACTTACTTATAACTATGGCGGTCCTCTATAAGTTTTGTGAAGAAATGATTCACAAATTCGCATTCCAAACCTTAGTCAAGGCTGAATTTAGATCTCACGGTTTGGAAACCATAACCTTAAAACCAGTCCACTAATTTGAAGCTCCCTGTGAGTGGAAACAATGATGCGATCGTTGAGTTCGACATCGGTATTTTTCTCGAGAGTCTCGACGGTGGCGGACTGGGAGACGGATTGATACGAAATATTATTTAATGTATAATTTAATTATTAGTTTAGTTAATCTTTAATTATTATAATAAATTAGAGTAGTACAGTTAGAGCACATAGGAGCCGTATGTTTAGTTGTTAGGATAGATATTAAGTATTTTATTAGTATAGGTAATTATCTTTTCTAGTTAGATTAAGATTCTAGGGTTTTCTTATCTTTAAATAATCGTCTTGTGCTAGGCTTTAATAATGCGGAGAAATAATAAAGAAGAGTTTTCTTACGTTTAGTAAAGAATTCTTATGATACTCAAGAGATCGTATCAATTGGTATCAGAGCGAAGTTGCGATAACACCAACGCTTCGTTAGCAAGGCAGCGATTATATCAAAGCTAAGCTGGAGCAAAGTTGAGATCACATCAAAACTTTGTGAAAACCATGATATCAGAAACAAGACGGTTGGAGCGATTGGAAAAATCCGTAGAGAAATTACGGATTAATTTTCAGAAATTGCTCGAACAAAGTCAAGGACGACGTCAACGCCATCACAAAAGCCGAAGGGACCGCCGCCCGTCACCACCACCGCCGCTGCCGTCGCCGAGCCTATTCCCGGAGGAAGAGGAAGAGGACGACGATGACTTTTTTGACGAACCGCCGCTGCCGAGCCTATTGCCACAAGGAGAGGAAGAGGACGACGATGACTTTTTCGAAGAACCCCAAATTTTTGTGAGTTCGCCGAAAGAAGAAGAATCAGATTCAACTGATATAAAGTGGGATGAAGAGCCGAAAGAAGAATAATCGGAGTCAACTGAGATAAAGTAGGATGAAGACGAGAAATTAACGAAGGAGGAGAACGAAGAATTGCATGAAATTTTGGAAGAATTTCATAATTTTAAGGAAGATCCAATTTTACATGATGAGAATTCGGTGGAATTAGTTGTTTATTGTGAAGAGGGAAACCACTCAAAGTTATCTAGTTTTTGTTTGGCTAAAGTGGATCACTTTGGAGACCAGGTTCATGATTCCACCGAGAGAGATGACTTCACTCATAAAATCAAGAAAGATAGTCATGTGTGAAAATTGGTCAAGCAAAGGAATACATCTTGCTCGGAAAGAAAGTCAATGAATTCAAACATAGGTGGAAACGCAAAGGAGAGGGACCAAATTGACTCGAACCTTGAGGACAAGGTTCATTTCAAGAGGGGTGGTTTGATACGAAATATTATTTAATGTATAATTTAATTATTAGTTTAGTTAATTTTTAATTATTAATAAATTAGAGTAGTACAGTTAGAGTACATAGGAGACCTATGTTTAGTAGTTAGGATAGATATCAAGTATTTTATTAGTATAGGTAATTATCTTTTCTAGTTAGATTAGGATTTTAGGGTTTTCTTATCTTTAAATAGTCGTCTTGTACTAGTGTTTAATTAGGCAGAGAAATAATAAAGAAGAATTTTCTTACGTTTAGTAAAGAATTCTTATGATACTCAAGAGATCGTATCACGGATTTGATGGAAAACAAAAGCTACAAAACAACCGTGGATCGGTGGTGGAGAGAAAATAGAGGAGCAACGATAGAGGAAAAAGAGGGGGGCGGCGATGGAGGAGAGACGGGCAACGACGGAGTGGAGAAAATAGACGATCCAATGGAAGATTAGATCGAGGATGGTATTTGGCAATTTGGATGGAGTGTATAATTGGATTTGTAATCTTATATATAAAAGAAAGAAACGTTGGGCAACCCTAGAAAAACTCTAATGGTATATTTGTAATTATTTATTTTTAATATTATTAATTTTTAACAATTATCAAAATTGAAACTAACCCGTGAAGAATTCTACCATAATGGTACTTCTGTAATTATTTATTTTTAATATTTTTCTCTACTAATTTTCGAACTACAATTTTCAACAATTATTAATCTCGTATTTTTCATTAATATATCTCAAATCTTAAGAGATAATAAAATTGATATTTTTTCACTTTTGAAATAATATCCCTTTTATCGCACGGGGAAAAATGCTAGTTTCATATTAAACCAAGGTGATGTAGATGTGGCGGAGCCGGAATTGTGTGGGGCCAAGTTTTTCCGAACTGGAACGACGAGGGAGTTAAACTCACCGCTATGCCGTGATGTGCGATGGATTTTGGCGTTTCGAGGTCGTTTAGGCCTTCAAAACGACGTTTTGCTATTTTAGGAAAGTTTTAAGTAATTGATAATTAATTCTAGAAAAATCGGATTGGGATTCCGCAAGTTGGGATGTTTCCAACTTTTGGTATTTTATTAGGTTTAGGAGTTATTTTGTTTTTTGCTTTTTTTTTTGGTAATTTTCTCGTTTTCCTACTTTTGATTAGGTTTTTCGTTTTCTTTAGTATAAATAGTTGCTCTAGGGTTTATTTTCAGCATCTTTCATTATTAATAAAATTTCTGAGTTTTCTCTCAATTATCTGGTGGATTCCAGAGTTATCGTGTTCTATAGGATTAATGTTTAGAAATTAATTCTTTACCGTGCTTCCGTTCTGCGTCAGTTGGCATCAGTAGCGGGGTTTTTCCTGGTTAGATGGTGAGAGGCGTGAATCTGGAAGACAACAACCGCGATGGCGATGACCTCGAAGTTTGTAACATTCAGGCAGCGGTCGAACTCGCTCGAGTAGAATCTCAACGGGTTATGCAAGAATTTCGAGTAGAGGTTCAAGATGAGCTGCGGCAACTTCGGGAGTTGCTACAGGGAATTGCCCTCAATGGCAACAACAGAAGGAGCGAACCAAATATAGCGCGCGTTGGGAAATTAGCCCGAGGTGCGCATATTAGGAATCAGATTCGTGACCAACCATGTCTTCACCCGGACAGTGACGAAGACTTCGATGAGAACGACAGAGCGATAGTCAACGGAAATAAACCTAGACAGGGACAAAGGCAGTACGACGATTATCCGACAAGGGCTGAGATTCCACCTTTCCATGGAAACCTCTCCATAGAGGATTTTCTGGATTGGGTGGTCGAAGTGGAGAGTACTTTTGATGTGATGAACACCCCACCCGAGAGGATGGTCAAGATGGTTGCGTACAAGTTGAAAAGTGGTGCGGCTGTATGGTGGGACCAGTTGCAGCGATTACGGACTCGACAAGGGAAAGACCCAGTGCAGTCTTGGAGGAGGATGAAGGGGCTTCTTCACGATCGATTCCTACCGGCCGACTATGAACAACACTTATACAATTTATACCATAATTGTTCGCAGGGTAGCAGATCTATACACGAATACACCACGGAATTTGTGAAACTGGCAGATCGAAATAATTTACGGGAGTCGGAGAACCAGCAAGTGGCCAGGTATTTGAACAGGTTAAAGGCTAATATCCGTGACGAATAGGTTTGCAGCCAGTTTATACCATTCAGGATGCGCAGAGTATGGCATTGCGAGCAGAAGAATTTGAGCGACGAAACAACGTAAATAATTATCGTAGGCCGCCAAATTATGCACCACCGCCGGTTGATAGGGGTAAGCTTGTATCCCAAAACCCTAATCCTGTTGCCCCACCAACACGGGCACCACAGATCCAGACGAGAGCCGGTGCCAGTAGTTCGAGCACGCCCGTTCAGCCTCAAACAAACAATCCTTATGCGAGACTAGTCTTTGGAAACTGTTTTATGTGTCACGAACCTGGGCACCGTTCCAATAAGTGCCCTGAGAGAAGACCCGTGAACTTAGTAGGTGGGTCGGAGCAGATGAGCAAGAGTGATCAGGAAGGCTATGATGAAGACGTTTTTCAAGAAGAAGAGGATACGGCAGAATATCATAGTCAGGAGGATGGAGAGCAAGTTAACTGTCTGGTGCAGCGAGTTCTTTGTACGGCGATGCAGCAAAACCAACGAAATAGCATATTTCGTTCTCAGTGCTCAGTTAATAAGAAAGTGTGCGACGTGATAGTTGATAATGGTAGTTGCGAAAATTTTGTTGCGAGAAGATTGGTAGATTATTTGAAGTTACCGGTGGAATAACATACAGTCCCCTATACTATTGGGTGGGTTCAGAGAGGGCCAAATGTTAAAGTGACAGAAGTGTGTCGTGTGCCTATCTCAATTGGAATGAACTATGCCAATGAGGTGACATGCGACGTGATGGACATGGATGCTAGCCATATACTACTCGGTCGGCCTTGGCAATTCGACGTTAATATGACCTATCAGGGGAGAGAAAACTTATACATATTTGAATGGGGTGGGCGCAAGATTGTGATGTTACCCCGATCGGAGTCGACGGTCAAGCCTGCCAGAATAGTGGAAAGAGAACCAGTTCTTGTGGTCTCTCAATCTGAGAGCGAATTCATAAAAGATGTCAAATCAGCAGCCGGGGTATACGTGACGATGATGAGTTCTTTGGGAATTCAAAAGGAAGAGGAGGTTCAGAAACAAACCGTCGAAATCCCCAAGAGTGTGCAACCGTTACTTACGGAGTTTGATGAGTTGGTGTCCAATGACCTACCGGATTCGCTGCCGCCTATGAGAGACGTTCAACACCAGATTGATTTAGTGCCCGGTGCTAGCCTGCCAAATCTGCCACATTATCGGATGAATCCGCAAGAATGTGAGGTTTTGCGAGAGAAGGTGGAGGAGCTGCTGAAAAAGGGGTTTATCAGAGAGAGTATGAGCCCGTGTGCGGTGCCTGTGCTACTAGTGAAGAAGAAAGACGGCAGCTGGAGGATGTGTGTCGACAGTAGAGCAATAAATCGGATTACCATAAAATATCGTTTTCCCATTCCGTGGCTTGACGATATGTTGGATATGCTGGAAGGTGCGAAACTGTTTTCAAAAATTTATCTTTGAAGTGGGTATCATCAGATTCGGATTAGACCCGGGAACGAGTGGAAGACAGCGTTCAAGACAAAAGATGGCTTACACGAATGGTTGGTGATGCCGTTTGGGTTGTCGAACGCGCCCAGCACTTTCGTGCGCGTGATGAATCAGGTATTACGACCATTTTCTGGAAAATTTGTCGTTGTGTATTTCGATGGTATTCTGATTTATAGCAAACACGAAGACGAGCATATGGGACACCTGCGTGAGGTGTTAACTGTTTTGAGAAATAATCAGCTATTTATCAATTTGAAGAAGTGTACTTTCACAGCTAGTCGATTATTGTTCTTGGGATTTATAATTGGGGCCGAAGGAATTCATCTCGATGATGAGAAGGTTCGGGCGATTCGTGAGTGTCCCACGCCTAATAATGTTTCGGAAGTCAGGAGTTTCCATGGGTTGGCAACATTCTGCAGACGGTTCATTCGGAATTTCAGCACCATCATGGCACCAATTACTGAATGTATGAAAAGGGAAAATTTATGTGGGGACGCCAAAATCCATTTCAGACGACGGAAAATTGCGACGAAAAAAAAAAACAATTTGCGACGAAACGGAAGGGAAAAAAAAGTCAAAAAACTGGCCGTCGCAAATTCTTGGATTCCGCAAGTTGGGATGTTTCCAACTTTTTGTATTCTATTAGGTTTAGGAGTTATTTCGTTTTTTGCCTTTTTTTGGTAATTTTCTCGTTTTCCTAGTTTGATTAGGTTTTTCGTTTTCTTTGAGTAAATTGAAACTGTTTAAATACTCATAATACTCATAATAAGTTATTTTTTCTAGAAAATCCATATATATATATAACAACTATTTGTTGTTCGCTTTATTATTTAATAAAAGCATACGTGTACTTATTGTATGCCTAACATGCATGCATGTATACACGAAATTTAACGTAGAAGAACATCCTTGATCAGTTTATCCAAATTCACGGAGGATGAACCTCCCGGTGCAGTTGCCTCTTCTGCTTTTCTCTTCAATTCCACAGCTCTCTCTTTCATCTTCTTCACCTTATCACCGTCCATCAACTCTCTCACAGCCGCCGCCACGTCAGCCCTCTTGACATCGTTATCTATCTCAAACCCAATCCCCCACTCCACGCAACTGTACCTACAGTTGGTCTGCTGCTCCGCGAAGAACGGCCAGCCAATCAAAGGCAAACCACCATTGGCAATGCTTTCTATTGTCGAGTTCCATCCGCAGTGCGTTAAGAACCCTCCGATGGATTGATGCTTCAGCACCCGCTCCTGCGGGGCCCACCCTACCACCACGCCCCTGTCGCGAACCTCTGCCGTAAATTCCGGCGGCAGGGCGGCTCCGCTGCCCTCTACCGCGTCGGGCCTGACACACCAGAGGAAAGGTTTGCGGCTGTCCGCCAGACCCCACGCGAACTCGGCCAGCTGCTGACGTGTCACCACCGTGATGCTGCCGAAGTTGACGTACAGCACCGAGCCGGGGTGTTGGGCGTCGAGCCATTCGATGCAGCTGTGGTCTTCTTTCCAGAGACTGGCGGCGGCTTGGGTGGTGGTAGTGTGGTTGATGAGTGGGCCGATTGTGTAGATGGGGAGTGGGGCGTACGCGGCGGAGAGCGCGTGGAGGGTGTCTTGTTCCAGGGCGTCGAAAGTGTTTAAGATTATGGCTGTGGCTCTGTGTGAGACGTGGGTTTGTTGTATGGCGAAATTGAGCATAAAATCTTCTGGATCTGTTGTACGGATGAAAGATGGGAAATCCTTCAATCGAATTCGTTTCATTCCTGGGATTTCGTCCAACGTTGTCTCCAGATACCCATCGGTTATCTGATTCATGTCTGTAAAACTCAAGACATTGCAGAAACATTAACTTTTTTCACCAAAATAATAATTTCTCCATCAATTTCGAATGAGATTGTATTCTGAGTGGATCAGCCGACATTTAATATAAATTGGATTCCACTAATTTTTTAACATGTCATGTGTTAATCTTAAGTCTTAAATCTTAATAAATCATGCTAATTATAATTAGGGCTAGAGGGGTTATGGATTTTTTTTTTTTTAATAGAATCCTAATTATATTTTTATTTAAACTATTCACGTGTCAATCACCCTATAACATTCGATTTCTCTATTAAAACAGGCCACTCGGTTTAAATTTGCACCCATTTCGAATTAAAAGACAATTTTTTTTTACTTAATATTATTTGACATTAATTTAGATTTTATAATAATTATTAAATAAATAAAATAAATAAAACTCAATGCAAGAGACCCGACGGTCAACGGCGGTTGACCTACCGGAAAAAAAATTTAGAAAAAAAAAATTCAAGAAAAAAAAAAAAGAAAAGTTAACGCTGGAGTCCGGCGTTCTTCGGCGGTCAACGACGGCTGACCGGCGGTCTCCGGTGGTGGCGGGTGAAAATTGAAATTAGGGTCAAAATTGGTTAATTAGTAAAATTGAGCTAAATTGGGGTGTAAATCATGAAATTAAAGTTGAATTGAGTTTCAATGAATTGGGGTAATTTTGGTATATATATAAGGGTTTTCCTTATTTATAAATAAGTTTGAATAAGTTGGAAATATTTGAAAGAAAAAACAAATTGAATATCCTTTTTTGAATTAAATGTCATTGCCCTATTTGCCATTTATCCATAAAATAGAGACTTTAAATTGCATATCTATTTTGAAACTTAGTTTTTAAAAATAGTAATGGAAGAATATTTCTTTAAAAAATAATAGAACAATAATTTGTTTACATAAAATTGGGCACTCTAGGAAATGTGGCCCCGTACGTGGACCTTGCTCGTCCCACTCCAGGGTCGGTCCCGTTAAGACTTTTGTAAGAAGAAATAAATTAAAATTATAAAGAAAAATTAATATTATAGATTAATTTTCACAAATGGAGAGAACAATTAATACAAAAGGTTAATTTAGTGATTAGATATAAAATTAATATATATTTACTAACTATTTTTAATTAATAAATTAAATGTATGGAAATTTTAATATAGTTGTACCTTTGAGCGGAATGTAACCTTTCTCGACGAGATACTTGTAATGCGTGTACGCCAAAAATCCACACGCGCTGGTCGTCCAGAACACCACCGCCGGCAGACGGAGCGCCTCCGCCGCCTTCAGTGTGAAACTCATTATCCCGTCGGCGACGATGCAGCTCACCGGCGGCACACCCGCCTCGCTGGCGGAGGTGTTGAGCTCTGTAAGGAGGTTGCAGAACGGCTCCAAGCAAGTCTTGCTGGTGGAGTCGCAGAGAGAAGGGATATCCTGAGTCGAGTCCTCCGATTCGGACGGCGGGAGTCCGTCGGGGATGGTGGCGAACCGGAAGTCCGGCGATCCGACCGGGCCGCCGCCGGACTTGAGGAGGCGGCGGTGGTTGTAGTCGGTGTTGACGAAGGTTACGAAGAAGCCGCGGCTGTGGAGGAGGTTGGATAACTTGAGCATGGGGTTTATGTGGCCCTGTGCTGGGAATGGTACGCAAACTGCATGGGGTTTGTAACTTTCCGCCATGGAAACCCTGGTTTTAAGTTCTTACACAGTAAGCACACACACATATAAATACACACAGTAGAATGTGAAATGGAATGAGAGGGGCAAGAAACGTATGGGGTTTTATAGCCTGCAACAATATATGGTACTTATTCACATTCACTTAAAAATCTAGCACTAATTATAATATCTTGAGTGCGTGTAAATATATATATGGATGTATACATACAAGGTGTATATATATGTTCTAATGGGGTAAACAATAAATAAAAAAAACCATGTGTTAAAGGAAAACCTACACCAAACCTCCCTGTGTTTTTTTTCTTCCGTAAAACCCCCTTGTATTTTATTTTACTTTGCACGTAATCCCCTTTTCGTTAAAAGTTAATACCGTTAGCTATAAATGGGGTTTTATGCAAATTTTTTGTAACATAGGGGAATTTGATGCATATTTTCTACAAGGGAATTTTATCCAAAAATTAATTTATTTGTTTAAGTTTCATATTATTTTTTGAAATTAAATTGAACACATTTATTCAAATATACAATATGAAAAATAAAAATTTAATAGGTGTGGTGAATGTTTTAAAAAAAATTTAATTTTTATATGATATAATTTATTAATGTATGAATTTTGAATTTTTAAATTATATAATTATTTTATTAGATATATTCGACTTAATTTAAGAAAATCATTTGAATTTTAAATGAATAAATTAATTTGCATAGACCTCCCTTGTTTTGCAAAATCATGCACCAAATTCCCCTATATTACAAAAAATTGCATAAAACCCCATTTATAGCTAACGGTGTTAACTTTTAACGGAAATGGGATTTTGTGCAAAGTAAAATAAAACACAAGGAGGTTTTACGCAAGAAAAAAGACACAGGGGAGTTTGGTGCAGATTTTCCTTAACACAGAGGGGTTTTATGCTGTTTACCCTGTTATAATGTAACGCGTTAAAATGAGTGTAGCATAGAACAAACGATCTCGATCGGATTAAAACTCGACAATCTTGATTAATTAGTACGTGCATCCATGTTAACATATGTGGTCCGAATGAAAATTAGGTTTTATTAGGTATTTCATTAATATTTGATCACTTTCAATTGCAGTAAGTGGATATGACAAGTGGTTGCTTTAATTTCTTGTTTATATGTCTCGTTTTCAATAGATTTATTTTCTTTGTCAAATTTATTTCATGATATATGAATTTGATCTACATGATATATTCACATGAATATCCAATCTCTAAGAGCAACTCCAATGGGATTATCAAATAGAGTATTCAAACATTTAACTCCCATTTACATACTTAAAATTGGAAATCTTTAACTCCAATGGGGTTATCAAATGAGGTTTCAATTTTGATAATTTACATTTTGGGTTGTAAAAATACTTGCTGGAAATTGAGTTATCAAAAATGTAACCTCCTAAACACCTAATCAAAAGTTGACACGTGGCAATTACGGATAAAACCACCCATAAACTTCCAATTGATAATTAATTTGATAACTATGGTTGGAGTAGATGAATTTTAAATCAATATTAAAATAATTTTCAAATATCAAATAACTATTTGGTAACTCAATTTTAATATCTAGCATTGGAGTTGCTCTAACATTCTATTTGTTGATGAGAACGACCACGTTTCAATTAGTCCTAACTCCTAAGAGCAACTCCAATGGGGTAATCAAATAGAGTATTCAAACATTTAACTCCCATTTACATACATAAAAATAGAAATCTTTTACTCCAATGGAGTTATCAAATGAGGTTTCCATTTTGATAATTCATCTTTTGGGTTGTAAAAATACTTGCTGGAAATTGAGTTATCAAAAATGTAACCTCCTAATCATTCAATCAGAAGTTGACACGTGGCAATTACAAATAAAACCACCAATAAACTTCCAATTGATAATTAATTTGATAACCATGGTTGGAGTAGATGAATTTTAAATCAATATTAAAATAATTCTCAAATATCAAATGAGTATTTGATAACTCAATTTTGATATCTAGCATTGGAGTTGCTCTAACACACAGTTAAAAAAAAAGAGAGAGAAAGAAAAGAAAAAAAAGAAAAAAGACAAGCACTATTGATCAGTAGATTTGGCACTTCAGATATTTGGACTCAGCCAACTCTTTTTACCTCTGCCCATGATGGATTATACTAGGAAATAATCCTACATGGAAGCAAACTGAATCTATGTCAAATTTATAGAATCGTTTTTTTCCCCCTTTGAAAGAGTACTCAAGGTCTTACGTATTTTTATGAATTATTTTCCAAAGGGGCATCCTAAATTCCACACTAAAATTTACTACATTCCACACATAAATTAAACAAAAAAATCTCTTTATGCTCATATTTTCTCTAACTTCTCTCTAAGATGATTTTATCCATGTCACTCAAAATTCATTGATTTTTTACGTGAATAATCATAAAAAATGAGTTCGATTTTATTTAATATTTATTCAATTTCATTAAGCATTTTTAGTTGTTCAGATTCATACCGATTCGAATTGTTTCCTCAAATTCCAACTTTATTTTAGTTTGAACACGTGAATTTTTTTGTCAAATTCGAACTTGGAATGCTAGGGACGTTTTTAGTGTGTAATTTTGGGAAAAAAATAGACAAGAAGAAAAATGAAGGGTGATGATGGAGAAGAAAAGATTTTAGAGAGATAAATATTTTTAATTGTGTGCATGATTTGGTAAAATCAATGTGACATTTAGCATTTCCATTTTCCAAAATAAAGGTGCGTAGATTGTACGATTGAATATAAGCCCCGGGATTTCAGGTGAGGGGAGCAGTTTTTTTTTTCCCCGACAATCAAGGACTGAGGAAGGTGTTCGAGAATCATCCAAATACAACAAATAAAACCAATACACGTTTTCTCCAGACAACTATCTTCCTCAAACCCTAATTTCGGCAGAGACATCTCTTTTCGAAACTTTTTTCAGCGGTCTAAAAGAGAATTTATCAAAAAATTTGTTTTCTTTTATTAATCATGTACATAATTGTTTCAGGAAGCAAAAGGAGGGAAGAAAGCAAAGTATTACTACCAAGATTTACATTTTTCTTCCCACATTATAACGTTGATCATCATTTTGTAGCTAATTAAATCCTCTATCTGAAAATTTTGGAAACAAATTCTTTTTGAATCGAACCTCCAATATATTGTCTAGAGAGGGTGGGAATCAAACGGATCCTATTGGAATTAGTACTTTTGGAAAAATTCTGTTTTTCTTTTTTTTATGAAGTGAAGAGCTAATTAGTCCAATTCAGTTAAATAAACTCAGAAATTTGAAAACCGGAATTTCGGAATTGGAATGAAAATTTTCATTCAAAAAATCAGAAATTTTCGAATTGAAATCGGCAGACTTCAGAACATTTCAAATGTTTGGTTGTTAAGTGTATATTTATACACTTAATTGTATCTTTTAATTGGAGCTTTTGATGTGTTTTTACGATAATTGGTGCTTAATTTGGTTATTATTTGTATTTTAGGTGCAAATTGAAGAATTGGCAACTTTTGGGGTGAAAACTGCAATTTCGGAGAAAAAGTGGGCCAAAAGTGAAAAAAACAAAATTCTGGAGAATCAAGGACCGCGCGGCCGTGCGGATTTTAGGCATAAATCTCACACGGCCGTCCGGATGGTCGAATTGGCGCAGTGAAGGAATCCTAATTACACAAGGAAACCCGCCCTATTATATTTTTACACCATATTTAAAGGCCACAAGCACACAATTAGAGGGAGTTTTTACCTTTTATCTTTAATCTTTAGGTTTTTATTTGTCATCTTTCGACACGCGATCAAGGAGCACAAGAACGAAGACGAAGACTTGACGAATCTTCATCCTAGTTCCCCTCTTTGACTTTTATTTATAGCTTTTATGATTTTTATTAATTTTATTATGTTTTTCGTTATGAGTAGCTAAGTTTTTAATCTAGGATTTTGTTGGAACCTTATGTGGGGATTGTGAACCCGTTTTCTTGAGATTATGCAATTATGATTTCATGATTATTTCTTATACTTGTTATGATTGTTAGTGCATGAACTTGATCAATTTATGTGCTTTATCTGTGATTATTGGGATTGACTCGACAGAGCTATTTTGATAATTAGACGGTAAGTATAAGAACCTTCGAGTAGTTTTCACCGGATGAGTGTGTCAATTGCATGTGGTGTCGTAGACATACAGATATCACCTTAGGTAGCCATTTACGAAACTTGTTAGTTAATGCTTTATTCATAATTTGTTTGCATAGACATATAGTGAATCGTTTATGAATAATAGACTCATAATACACGCGACAGCGGGTTATGAGTAAATTAGTGTCTCGGGTTAATAATCATGAATCATATATTTCATAATTGAGGGGTTTTGGGTGAGCAATTCTTGCATAGGGGGAAGATAAAATCCTAGATCCGTTTCATATTGATATTTTCTCGTAATTAATTGTTTTCTTAATTTTATTAATTTTATTAATTTTATTATGTTTTTCGTTATGAGTAGCTAAGTTTTTAATCTAGGATTTTGTTGGAACCTTATGTGGGGATTGTGAACCCGTTTTCTTGAGATTATGCAATTATGATTTTATGATTATTTCTTATACTTGTTATGATTGTTAGTGCATGAACTTGATCAATTTATGTGCTTTATCTGTGATTATTGGGATTGACTCGACAGAGCTATTTTGATAATTAGACGGTAAGTATAAGAACCTTCGAGTAGTTTTCACCGGATGAGTGTGTCAATTGCATGTGGTGTCGTAGACATACAGATATCACCTTAGGTAGCCATTTACGAAACTTGTTAGTTAATGCTTTATTCATAATTTGTTTGCATAGACATATAGTGAATCGTTTATGAATAATAGACTCATAATACACGCGACAGCGGGTTATGAGTAAATTAGTGTCTCGGGTTAATAATCATGAATCATATATTTCATAATTGAGGGGTTTTGGGTGAGCAATTCTTGCATAGGGGGAAGATAAAATCCTAGATCCGTTTCATATTGATATTTTCTCGTA